ACTCAGATATATCATGCCCACCGAGGACCATATAAATTCCATACACCAATTACGTAGAATAGAGATCCTGAAGAAGAGCACGGAAAACACCGAACAGATGCTGTCGGGAAATCATATGGAAGAAAGTAGAGAAGTGATGAGTGGTTATATGTACCAGATGGAGATTGATTCCTGACTTGGAATAGATTCACTAAATCATTTGCAAGGTATCTCAGTTTGGGATATACTTGATTATGAATTGTGAGATAGAATATTGAGAACACTGACTCTTGATTTCTAGAATTCTTATAAACACTGGTTACTTCGGTTGGTATATCGAACATCTCATCTCTCACTTGGAAAATCGGTACGGGGTAATTACAAACATGATTCTCAAGCTTTCACCAAGTTCATTTCACAAAGAATAAAATCTTTTATGCTCAAAAAATATTCAATTCTGTTTATACAAGACATAATATATACAAGAAAGTGACATGAAGCCCATTCAACTCATCCTTCGGCTCATTCATAAATTTTCCATCCAAGCTATACCTGATAGCCCGAATCAAATCCAAAAACAATCCATCAAAATATCATCAAAAAGTTTTTTAGTCAAAGAGGGTGCTGATTCCAAACAACCAAAAGGTTGAGAATTTATGCAGCAGTGACAGTAACAGTTACGACATCGGTAACAGTGACGTAGTCGGTGATCATATCAGTAACAACGTTTGAAGGTGCCGAGGTAACAGCTGGGGCAGAAGTAACAACTGATGCTGCGGAACTAGCAACAACTGATGAAGCAACGCTGGCAACGGAGCTGGCGGCAATAACAGCGGAAGAAGAGGCTACACTGGCGACTGGGGCAGCGGAACTGGTAGCGGCAACTTCTGCGGTGGTTTGAGCGGAAGAAGAGGCGACGACAGCGGCGCTTGAAGCGGCGCTTGAAGTTGCAACAGCGGCAGCAGATGAAGCAGCGGAAGAAACAACAGCTGCTGCGGTGGCAACTGCTCCGGAAGTACCTAAATTGAGTTAGAAATTATGATCTAAAGGGTAAGATTTGTAGGGGGGGAGTAGAAAGCTTACCTTGAGCAACGGAAGCAGTAGCGGAAGCCCATTGAGTAGGACCTGGAACATCGTATGAAGCAATGGAAGCATAGATGTTAACGTTGACACCGGCATCAGTCTCGGTGTAAAGAGCAGTACCAAGAACGGTATCTGCGCTAGCTGGAACAGCGGATCCAGTTCCGGAAACCCAAAGGTTAATACATTGTGGGTAGTTTTGAGCTCCATCGGCTTCCTCAGCGGAGTGGAGTGCGATGATCTCGTGGCGGAGAACGTAGGCACCTGGTGCCAAGGACTCTGGGATGGTGACAGACCAAGAGTTGTTGTTGGCGATGAGCTGATCGGATGCCCATGTACCTGGGACGGTGGAATCATCGATAAGTCCTACACCATCGATCTTGAAGAATCCGAGGGTGGTCTTGTCGACAGTTGTGCAATCATCTCCGGTACAGGCAGCAAGGTAGTCTAAATTATTGATTAGCAAAAAGAGTATGCATAGAAATTCGACATTAGCATACCAATGACTGGACCGTGATGCGAATCTGGCCAGGCAGTCCATTGCAAGTTAACCTCACTTCCGGCAGTAACATTAACGTATCCTTGAGCGTTGGTAGCGGCCAAGTGGCAAATGATGTCGGATGTACCATAAGCATCTGGTGCAATGAAACCGTTCGATTGATCAGTTGGATCGGACCATCCAGCAACAACTGGTGCAACTTGGTCGTATTGGAAAGATGGGTCATAACCCTCATACCTATTTGAATATAAGCTTGTATTCCCAAAACTTTATTTGAGTGTTACTTACCAAACACCGTCAGCAGTGATACCTTGGACACGTCCGTGAGCAGCAACACCAGAGATAAAAGCGGCACCAGCCAAAACAGCGATCTTGGAGAAAGACATTTTTGATGATAAAATCTTGAGATTGATGATTTTGATGGAAGAAGTTTTTGGTAGATTTTCGTGTGGTGGAAAAAATGAGTGCTTGGTTTGAAAAGTTGGCTAAGCTTCAATCAATGAAGTAATGAATGTAGATAGTCACTGAGGACTGTGTAAATGAATGTGATGGGTAAAGAAAGAAACGTTTGCTTGAACGATGAAGAATCATAGTCAAAGTGGCCAAGGGAAAGATACTTATACAAACTTCAGGGAATGTGACCTAGCCCTGTATCATTAGATGAACTGGTAAGTTGTGGAGATTCAATCTGTGCACAAGCAACTGAATATCCTAGCCATTCATAAATCGCATGATTAGATTTTGCTTGCGAAGGCAGTCAAGGGGGAATTCGCAAAAGGGCTAGAAACATGTCCAAAAAGCTTATGCTCGTCATAAAGCTTGAACGAGATTGGATAAAAATTGCTTGTGGATGATTTCGAATGAACAAAAGAAGTATTCAAGGCGGTAATTTGCAATATATTTGTTGCTCGCAAGGATATTTTGATTTGAAAAGGGTGATGACCCATACATGAATCAATTCCTTCCAATGTTTTCCTCCCCACTTCATTCTGACCGATATCCGAATTCCTCAGATGAAAATGAGAGGAGATTAGATGAATTATGGGGATTTTACCACCTTGAAGCAATGGTAAGGGTATGAAACACAGATCTCGTCTAAGTAGCCCCTGCAATTCAATCCTAGGCTCACTCTGTACTAACAGGGTGACAGACTTGGTCTGTGTTCACATATCGTCGTTTCGACCATGCAATGCTACCAATGCATGGGAATTGTCTATTGTTCCCACCCAATAAACGTTCACTAGAACAGTCTAGATGAAAAGATTCAATAACATAACCAATAATGCTCCGGATAAAAACTTTCTTTGAAACTACTGACGACGTCGACTTATTAAACTTTCGGCCCCGTTCACCAGATTCCATCATTTGACCACATATGGAGAAGGATTAGGGGAATAAATTGAGTTGAAAGGGGCAGCTTTAGACTGTATCCCTATTTTGTTTTTAGCGGTTACGATGCTCTTGTCGCCAGGATGGAACACCAAAAGAAGCAATTCGGTATCCATGAATTCCGATTGAGTGATATTAACTTTGCGAATCAAACTGCGACTGTCCCAGTGTAGCAAACTGAGGGTCTTCAATTTCATCATCATCATCATCATCATCATCATCATCATCATCGTATTCTCTCGATATGTCGGACGAAGGTCCAAAAGACTCGATATAGCCTTTCATTGTTCATTCATTTCGGACAACCATTCGAAAATTGATTCTGAACCACCTGGGCACTCCGAAAAGAGACTTTGAGTGGAACCTGACTGTAATGTTTGGTACCGAATGGCGATTATTGATTCGGAAACAGGAAGCAAGCGCCGTTGAATATTAATAGGATTGGCGCTGGAATTCAAAAATAACCCCCAAGTGTGTACAATTCATTTATTTTCGGAATTGCGGCAGCTCGACAGCACTTGAGAGTTTGCCTGGGTCCTGACTAGGATTGGTGTGAAGAGAACCTAAGATATGAAAGGGCGGTGATTTCGCAAATCGCTTCGAGGTTGGTTTTGCATGATCCCATTGCTTGTCAAATTCTGTGGATGGTTCTCGAGCTCCCTGGAGGGTTTGTTTAATCTGTAGCATCTTCACATCGTGGAATATTTACAAGGGATAAGCTACCTACCGGGGAGGAAGGATTTGGCGCAAAGTCTCGACCACATTCCTAGATCTTAACATTATCTTCCACCACTCATTGAATCGAAATAGTTTAAATCAAAGTATCGGAAGAGATGCATATGTTGCGGCATGTATAATGGCGCTTGAGTACATGCATACGACTTCAGGAGGGAGCTTGCATCGACCGTGTAAGACTGCGCGGATTTGGGAGTTAAAATTGCCGTGAGCCCCTGGGTTTATTTTGCATCGCGTAGAACATTAAGTTCAATCGATTCGTATCAAGAGATCAGTATGGAAGCGATCTCGTCATTGTAATGGTGATGATCATTCATATCGGAAGAATGATTGCCCGTCCTGACTTCGACTACCTTCTTCCTGTGAAGAAGTTCCCAAATTCTTAACATATCATCCTCCGAGTGCTGAGAATCTAAGTGTTCCATTCGTATTGGCAATGTAGATACGTTTCTCCCAGGCTGTTGTTATTTTTTGAGTTGCCATTCCCGATTATTCTGCCAGTCTTGAGTTGTTTGATATTGTACAAATTGGTATCGCGACGAGTCTTCGGTCTTTTTGTTTCGACCTAAAAAATTTTGGCGCAAAGAACTTTTTGATGTCTTTAATCTTGTCGTTGGGATGTTCGTCCATTTTATATGAGGATGATGTGGTCTTGGCGCTGCTGATAGTTTTTGTCCACTTCTTGGCCATCCATGCCCCCATTATTTAAACCTCAGAATGCGTTTGTGAGATTCTTATATCGCATTTGACTTTTAAACCCCCGAGAGTTGGCTTTGGAATATTTGGTTTGCGACTGCTCCTCTATTGGCTTTATGGGAAGTGCAAAAGATGATCCATCAAAATGATGGAGGTACTGCAATGTACATTGGCCATGGTTACAACATTGCCAAAGAAATTATTGCTCTATTGACCACCGACACCATCGAGGGCAATTCTCTCTTCCCGTGTGCCTAGCTCCGAGCTTGTAGATTGCCTCTTCCAAGGTCTCTTGATCGTTCTTTCCTAATGTTATCCCTTGAATAAAAGAAGATGCCACGTGGAATGTTTAGAAATTTTATGGGTTCACAATTCGTGTAATAGATAAGCTACATTGAAGCATTGATAGATTTCTATCAATTACTATGAAAGGTGTAGAAATCAAAATCATGATATTTTGGTCGTTTTATAATGTGAACTCGATCCATGTGTTATTATGCAATCAGACTAGAGTCTGTCATCCTCTTCAACTCTGCTTCCATGTGCCCCAGGAATAAAACTTAAGATAATATCATATCACTGCCGCCTTTCAGCACGGTACGGCAAATGTAATTTATTTATCTCATGATCTGGCCCCTCGAGAAGGATAGCTGTAATTCACGGGAGGCTGACTACCATTTCTTTGATATGTATGAGATCTCGGCACTGAGTCTGGCACTTGTCTAGATTCTTGCAGATCAGGGGTGATGGGACGGCGATGCTCACGCGCTACAACCCTTTGCTTTGATAGTCGTGGATACTGTTGAGAAGTAAAAGATTTATCTTCTTTGTGCACATTACGAGGCGGGAGAGCCGGATTTTCTCTTGTTTTAGGAATAATGATGCCCCGATTTTGACCACGAGTCATCTTCCTGTTGTCATTGAAATCTCTCGCCACATCACCGTGGGCTCCATGATGACTTGAGCTCTTCTTCTGGATATCTGAAATTTTGTGCTGTCGTCTAGACTGTGAGGGTATTATAGCTTTTGGGGGAGGCTGGGAACTGGGATTTGCGCCGGTTGCTAGGACGTTTCCATATTCAAACTGGTTGAGAAGTGTAAAATCGCTTTTCTTTGCTGGTTCTCTTGATAATGGCTTTCTTGAAATTCCGTGGTTATTGTGCTTTTTAGGAGGGGTCAGAGTAGAGGTTGCTTTTGGTTTGGGAGATCTTTGTTGAAGTGGAGTGTTACGTCCGATAGCCGAGTATTCGTTTGCACCCGGCTGATGATCAGCTTCATTCTCTCCGCTCAATTCGAACTCCATACGTTGAGGAATTTTAGCGAGTGTGTATCGATCCCAGCCCGGCTTTGGTTGCCTCAGAATTGGCCCTAGATCCCGTGCTGATGTATATTTTGGTTTCTCAAGATACTTCAATTCACTACCTCTAGGCTCGTCTCGCTGCCTCTCTCCCTTCGTGGCTTCGTTTTGTTCCCGAAGACCCGAGCTATTTCTCTTCATTATTAGATTCCGATTTGAAAAATTCAAATACTAAGCTATTTGATAGAAGATGATAGTCGTGATTATGGCAGGGGGTAGTGATAACAATGAAAGACTCATACATGAGAAGAAGAAAACAATGTAAATTTCTTCCAAGTGAAGGTGAAAAGCACTCGAGGAAAGACGCATTTATATAGATACATGTACCCTTACCATAACCTTCTTCTCTGAGTTCTGGTTGCTTGAGAAGACTTCTTTTCCAACAATTAATTCTTCCAATAAGGTCCATGGCGATACAGGCACAAACCTTTAGAGTGACCAGATATCAGGGTGAAATGATTACTTCACAATAAGGCCTTTAAGAGATGTACAGATCCTCATCCTAAAAGTTCTGAAAAGTGACCGAAGACATCTGAGAACGGACCAATCTAGTGTTCATTCAGCACCGAGCAGTAAATTTTACAATGTGCCTCATGCTTTTCATCAGATATTTGAAAACTTGCGCCACGTTATTTGTTCGCTCCTCTTCCAGCCGACGTGAAAGGGCTGCAATGGTCATCAATGACTCATTGACCAGGCTTGCTTGACCACTGAATATCTCCTCTTGACACTTGCTAGAAGCTAATCATAAATACTGTAGCGAGAGACTGCCCAATCGACTTTCAACTCATGGATAGGAAAATCCCAGGTGGTACATCAATTTCAGCTTGAAAAATTAGAAGAGCCATTAGATTGAATCTTTCTTCAGTGTGATGCCACCCCGGAGACAATAGAATTTATATGTCCTACACATCGGGGGAGATGACCGACAGAGGAGAGCACGTATGAGCACATATGAGCAGCTAATGATATTATTCAGCGAAGAGGTTACGTATGCATTACGACTCTCAATCAAGATAGATCTAACGGATCCACAACATCTAGTATGGGTTGAACTTTTGTATAAAAGGTTACTCATTTCCATCGCAGCCAAGAATTGTTCACAAGATACGTTGGTGAAATCGAGCAGCCATTTGTCCTACCTGTTAATCATCGATACCCGTAGGAACACTGCGGGACGTTCCTTTCGACCTCATATTGTCGCATTATACGGGCGTTTCGAGGACACCTGAAGGGAGGAATGAGAAACCTTTACTAATTGGAATTGGATTAAGCGCTTACCAAGATTCATATAGTTCATTCTACATAAAGGAGGGTAACATTCAAAGACGACATTATTTTTTATCAAAAGTCTCACAACGTTGATGTTCGATTCAATTCATTCATCTCATCAGACCTGGACAAACATCAGTTGCCTACCTTCGAACCGATGTTGAACGTTAGGCGAGTATAAATTCCGTTTGAAACACCAACATTTCAATAACCAATCGGAGAAAATCGATCAACAGGGCGCTAGAGCAACACGCCAAGGTATTGTTTGCTGACATTATTGGTTAGAAACCACACGTTGTGCTGTAAATGGAAACCCGGGTGTACCCCTGGATTATTAATAAACTTTCGTCACATATTTTTTCTTTTTCAACCCACCTTGATCCTCATCTAATCTATATGATTCTACTTCATTTCCGCGATTAGGTTGGCAAGCTTACTCGATCTCATCGTGTGTTATAACTTTTTGGAAGGATTGAAAGAGTCAGTGCTACCACAACGGCCTTGGCTCTCAGTCTGTGCAATACGTTATGTGCTATCGGAACATGGATTCGCAAAGCTGCGCATCTAATTCCATTGAAAACCAAACTCTTCATCAAAAGACTGGTGGTGTACTCTATGGAATTAGACCTTTTGTAGAACAGTTAGCGAATATTTACTACACAGCCACAAGTGTATCATATGATTCCGAGGCTCAAGAACTTCATCCAATGCATTATGCTTGGCGTACGGAGGTACATCTCGATTGATTGAAAAACCAGATGAACAATGAATCAAGGAGGTCTTGAATACTGGAGTTGATGACAAAAGAAAAAGCGTTATAGCTACATTCGAAACATCAGGAGTAAAATATTACCACACCTAGATCGGAACATTAGATTAACGAGATTGCGGCCACGCCTACAGTTAATCTAAAACGCACCAAGAGCCCCAAAACGTTTCGAAATGCGGGTAATCCTAGTCTTTCTTCTCCGAATTCAGTACGTTCCGCCAATTAAATTAATTTCTTCTTCTCCATGTACAAACAATATTTGATCCCTTTTGGAAGCGCCTGGAATTAAGAGATGAAAGTGGTATGGAAACAGCATCATAGTCAATATATTCTCGACTTCTTGGCACTCACTGTCAACCAGATGACAAGGCTATGAGGTACGGATTAGATACATACAGATTATGGTAGAGCGCCTACCCATATCACGATGGCGTGAATGGGGTACAAGGGTATAAATCAAAGTTTTATATATTCCGACGACTTCGCTCTCCTCAATGCTTCTTCTTTCAACCACATCAAAGCAAGCCTTTGTACATTCAAGTTCTATCATTCTCTTCTCGCTCTACCACACTCTCTTTTTGCTTTAAGCATTTTACATTCATTCAGCTGGTCTAACATCTCAAATTCTTTTGTGAATTTTTTTTATCATTTGATTACCAAACTCCATCACTTTTTTTCTCCAAATTCAAAAAATATCAATCAGGATGTCTTTCTCTAAGCTCACCACTTTCGCCGGTATGGTTGCCGCAGTCTCCGCTCACGGATATGTTTCCGGTATTGTAGCCGGTGGAACCTAGTAAGTTTAAACTTTCTCGCGTCATCTTAAAACTTAAACATATTAACTTAATATAGCTACACTGGATGGCTCGTCAGCTACGCATACCAAACCCCAGAACCTGATTCGATCGGTTGGGCTGACACCAACCTTGATCTCGGATTCACATCACCATCTGCCTATACCACTGGTGATATCATCTGTGCCAAAGAAGCTACCAACGCTGCTCTCTCAGCTACCATTGCCGCTGGCGACAGTATTGATTTCCAATGGACTGTCTGGCCTGAGTCCCATCACGGTCCAGTCATCACCTACCTTGCCAACTGCAATGGAGACTGTGCTACCGTTGACAAGACCACTCTTGAATTCTTCAAGATTGACGAGGCTGGATTGATAGACGACACCACTGTTCCCGGAACCTGGGCTTCCGACAATTTGATTGCCAACAACAACACCTGGACCACTACCATCCCAGCTGATCTCGCTCCTGGAAACTACGTCGCTCGTCATGAGATTATTGCTCTCCACAGTGCCGGATCTGAGGATGGTGCTCAAAACTACCCTCAATGTATCAACTTGGAAGTCACTGGTTCCGGTACCCTCGCTCCTGAAGGAACTCTCGGTGAGGCTCTCTACACTCCTACCGACCCAGGTATCTTGGTCAACATCTACGCTGCCCTCACATACACTATCCCCGGTCCAGCTATGTACAACGCTACCGGAGCTGCTACCGTAGCCGCATCCGGAGTCGCATCCGCCACCTCTGCCGCCGCTAGCGTTGCCACTTCCGCCGCTGTTGTTGCCACCAGTGCCGCCGCTAGCTCTGTCGCTGCCGTTACTTCTGCCGCTGCTTCTGTTGCTATCTCCAGCGCAGCCGGTGCCGTTGTATCCACAACTGCTGCCCCAACCACGATGATCACATCCGTTGCCCCAGCCGCTACCTCTGCTGCTGCATCTGATGACGATGAGACCTGTGACGCATAAGCGTTTAGGTCCCTTGCTCAAAATGACAGGAGATTGATTTGGATGGATGATTGAGAGTTTGGTTTTCAATGTATATATACCTTTTTTGAATAGAAGACTCTTTTTGTAGTCTTTCTATTACACATACAAACTAGCTTTTAGAAATGATAGAAGTTTCAAGAACCCAAAAATTGTAGCACGATTGATATAGTGTGATGTGTGATATAGACTCGGATTGAATTTTGAGATGACTGTTGTGTTTATTGATGACTTGCTCGTAAATCCTTGATAGAAATATGAACCGGACTTGAACCCAGATCGTTTACTCTTCAAATCCAAATGTAGATTGTATGTTGAACAATCATATTGTGAATACGATGGGTAGAACCATTTCAATACGAATCATGCTTGATTTTTCCAGGGTTTGACCCCTTCCTCCCTCCTTCCACGGATTCTAACACTTCTTTAATACGAAACCAACTCTCCGCAAACCTAAACATTTGTGAACTGAGCTCTCTCCAAACATTCCAGAGATCCTGACAGTATTTCAAGAACGATCGACTGTAATCCGGTCTCATAAGAAAATAGTAGTACAAGGAAGAAAAGTAACGTGATCGACAAGATTGCGAGATATGCAACAAGGAATTCGATCCGATCGGTAACGTGATTGAGAAAAGATCTAGATATGCAACAAGAATATTTTTATCATCTCAGTCACGAGAAATATCATGTGGGTGGACTGTAATTGGTCGAAGAACAAGAAAATTGCAATCAACGGAATTCTCGACAACGAATAGAAAGAAGAATACACGCGCAGTGTACAATGTTAAAATTCCTATCCAAGAGTTGCTGGGATATCTTTTGAAGGATGCGTATATGCCAATTGGGACATGGTTGATTTGGCCTACTGTATCCTTGAGGGTCATGATTTCATGTCAATGCCATTTCTTGGAGAGATTGAGAAGAAAACTCTAGATTCCTTGGTTAATCACTGGCGTACTTTGTAAAATGCGATACAATATGTCGTATGTGATATTCCTAGTGGGGTGACGACATGTTCCCATTCAATACAGCACTGAATCTGCATACCAAATGAGATTTTTGAGAACCACACGAGCTTGTCATTTGAGTAGTTTTAAGAAACGATTTTCTGAATGTTCAGTGCTTCATTATATAGTATTCCGGCATCCGATACCGACTTTCCTATTTCTAAATTCAATAACAGCTTGATCATCTCGAGCTTTACAGATTTCGTGCGTGGGGGTATCATGGCATTGTAGTCCGCTTGAGAAACCACTCGCTTGAACGAATATCTTATAGTAGAAAGTCATTTATGCATCTTTGCATCACGCGGGGTAATCACTCCTCCCTTGGAACAGTTTCCCAAAGCATGAAGATCTACATCTTCACCTCGCATCTTATTCACAATATATTCTAGACCAACAATGATCCGTAGCAAATTGACATAGCGCATCCGGAAGTTCTTTCATTGAAAGATTCCATCGAATAAATCTTGGACCAAATTCAAGGGACTGTTGTGGGAATCCATTTGCAGAGCTTAGACACAATCTTTCAATACAATGCTCAAACTTGCTGCTCCGAAACACCATTGCCCTGTTTTTACAAGATTCTCAAAAATCCGGCGGCATCCTCGATAACCTTTTTGGCCATCCAATTACATTATTGGGCTATTGACTAGGAATACCAGGGATAAGAACATACAATAATCGATATCAAGCTCTTGCTATCCTCCTCTTAATCTCATACAGAGCCAAGAGACTGAGGTGGATTCCCTTGATCTGCTCCGATGATTGATGTGCTAATTTTACCTACCTCCCGCGAAGACGTGGTGGTAAGACTCCTTCCAACTCAAAACATATTCTCCAGGCGATAAGCATGGTCCTCTTTGTCTTCTGCGAGCTGTCAAATTCCAATTACCCAGATTCATCGTCAGTCAATACTGATCAGACGAAGGAGCAAAAACAGGACGTGGCACGAAAGGAGGCCTACGTTGTGAAATCAAGACCATTGATAATGTATCGATCAACAGACTCCTCACAAGATAGATTCAATCTCAAAGAAATACCGGTGGAAGATATAATCTAAGAGTTCGCATTCGAGAATACTCAAGCCTGATAAAGACATCAAGAAATAACAGACAATTTGTTTATACCAAACCAAATTTATCTGCCATGGTGGAAGCTCTTCATTGTTCGCGTACTTCGACGCGATTTCATCAAGGATGAATTTGTATCCAAAGATATTGACAGGCGCTGGGGATGCTATAGCTAAGTATCGAGCCTCATACTTTGTATGAACGGGATTTAAAGAATACCATATTTGACAACTGCCTGCATCATATGAGTTGTGTATTTCCATCACCAAATCATGGACGTATTCATGCCGCAGCCTTTGAATATTTGATAGTCTATTGATAGCCTGTTGAGATACAGACTCCTGTGTTTTTCCTGTTCCTTTTGACTCGTTCATGAACATTTCCTGGTACTCTAGACTCAATTTACTTTCAGTCCAAAGTGCAATGAGCTCTATCACATCGTTTACTTCACTGTCTAGGGATTGACGAAGAAGAGAAGTTGAACGTCTTGGTTTTCGGGATTTCCTGCGCCTGGCCTTTCCATGACGCACTCCTTGAGCAACAAAGACAGCTTTGAATGCAGTGTAAAGCAGGGACGGAGATGCGGTGACTTTGACACCAGTGGATTGTGAGACAGTAAATTCATTGTCAAAAATATTACCAGCCGCTACTCTCTCATTCAAGTCTTTTGGTAGTTGCGATCCGAGATCCGAGAAACTTCTCATGTGTAATGACAAACTTGAGTCAATCGTGGAAGGCCTAACAATCTCATGCAACTTGATTGTCGCACCTCGAGCCTGTTCCCAAAATCCTGGAAGTAGGAGAATCTCTGTTCTCGTAAGCGTGATAGGAAACTCGTCGACAGAAGATAACTCTTGGGCATTCAGCATCGGTGATGGGTTGAATTGTATATTCTCCATCTCGATCTCATCAAGGGTTATATATGTCTTTGATACAGTCCTTATTAAAACTTGACCAATCCGTGTGCTATATTTTGATGTGCGTTCAAAGTCTGGACATTCCACAGTTTGGATTTCTCCTGACAATTTTGCCAAGATACACTCAAGCTCAGACTTTTGGCTGATGATGGAAGGGTTTTCCAGAGATGGATTCCAGGATTTCAGATTGCTCGGTGGCATATGATGGCATGCTTCAAGATGAGGTGAACGGTTTGAAGATGATGACTGTAAGTCTATTGTTTCTCGAAAATGTTTCTTCAACAAATTTTCGAGTATTAATTCCACGGCATCCACGACACGTTTCTCAATTAGATGATCGCTTTCTAGGCTTCGCTCTGTTTGCTTTACAAACTTGTCTGCCATGTTTTGTAAAATGAGCCTTGTCTCCTTGGCTGTACTAACAATGTCGTCTACCTTCGCGTGTGAATAATTAACAATTGCGGAAATCTGCGAATTGGATAAATTGAGTTGTTGGATCGAGTTCCGTAGGTTTTCTATCTTTAATTTTGTTTCATCGTGTCTGGATCTGGTAAAATTTCAGAACAGGGACCAAGGGAATGAGATGTCTTGTACTCACGCGTTGTGTAAATGCTCGAGATGTCCTTTGGCTTCTCTTAGACGGTTCAAATGCTTCAAGATCTTACTAGTATTGAGAGCCAATGCGAGCCTTGGTCCCCACTTCATATATTTTCCAACGTCTGTCAAGATACCGTATTTATCGACCACATCTCGTAGTTTGTGAATTGACTCATTACAAAAGTCCAAAGCGGCAAGATGTTCAGGGTTATCTGGTATTGAGGCTGTAAACTTTGTGGAAATGCTCTTTATGATAGAAATCTCGTTATTGAGCAGCCGAAGTTCTACGGGAGCATCTCTTGCGTCCTCAAAAACGCTGTGTAAATAGTTGCAGCCTTGTGTGACTTGACCTGCCAATGAAACCACGGCGATAACTCCACCAGCAGCCGCCAATCCTTCCATTTTATGATCAAAACTTAACAAAAATAAGACTTGAGATATGGAATTAGGAAAAAGATGGAGAAATTGAGATAGAGTATGAATTAAGAGAGGGTGGGAAGTTGAGGTTGAACTACATCGCATTGTGGCTGGAGGGTTGCCATCACAGCCCTCCTTGTGTAACATCTTCCACGTAGCTGACTGCCAATTACCAGACATAATTGGAAACTTAAAACAAGAACGTAAAAATCAACAAATACAACTTTGTAAGTAAAACCTCCTCGGCCAGTGCTCCAACCTTCATTTGGAGTTTGGTAATTCTCTCGAGCATTTTGATATCCCGAAAAGCAATCGCAAATCGCGAAAGTTAAACCTACGTAGGTAGTGTTATAGCAGTGATGAGGCTGGACTGTACCATCAGCAAGGCTCCCATGTTCGAGGTCTTGAGACTTCAAAGTTTGGATTGGTGACTGAGAAGATGCATGTTGTCAGATTGGGTTGGCATGTAGCTGGTAAGAGAGTAACAGTAAGTATGGGCGAGAGCATTTCAAACGAATTCGAGTATCCATTGGAGAGCGATAGTTAATCGAGCTTGAGAATGATCAATCTCTTTTGGGTTGATATAAAAGTGTATGTTTGTGGATGAGAAACCGTCGGTCCATGCGAATGAAGTCACATCCAATTTAAATGCACATAGAGTCCATCCCGGTCACCCTAATCTGGCACTTTTGGAAACATTACCATCTCGACGTCACAGCATCGATCATTGCAGTCAATCTTTAGACTCTGGCACTCCATAACGAGACGAATACCCACATATTCTTCAACTATACCGCCTATATCATTGGCAGGTATTGTACAGCGGCAGGATGTGCGCTTGCTCCTATCACGGATATGGGTTACTTCCAGACCTTGACTCCTCAGTCAAACTGGAGAGATGAACGATAGAAAATGAGGAATAGAAGGGATGATTGTTGCAAGGGATTGATGGTGAGTTTGATGAGCAAACATAGCCTGCCAGCTTCGAAGCTCCTGGTATCTTCAACATTATCGACACAACGATCCAGATACTCAGCCCGGAGTACACGTACGAGACTCACAATGGGCGACTTGATGTTACCGGAACAGTGAGCAAGACATCAATGCACTCGCTCGAGCACGTATCGGATATCGTTAGCCAAAAAGCTTCACAGATTTCAAACTACAAGATATTTCTGTCACCTCCTGAGGTTTTACCGTGTACCATTGTACAAGTTAACCGATTTGTCTTCGCTGTTACATACGGAAGACAGAACAAGATTCCATTCCATTGTCTGAGCAACTGTGCAGGTGAAAGAAAGGCTGTAACGACGATCCTGACCTAGAACTATAGCTCAGCCGCAAAACTTCCTGTTTGACGAAAGATCTTCATCATCGTTGGCATAGAATGAACCTTGAACCGTACAAATATTGTAGGCTTGCAGATGGATCATCGTGGAGACATCCTCTGTATACATACGGAGCTCGAGAGTCGGGCCAAAAATCGATCGAATCAAAGTTCCTAGCTCATGCTGAAAAATCTATGGACAATTCCCATGCTCAGTGTTCCACTGAACTGTACAGTACCTGCCTTCAAATATCATGTTCTACCATGTCATAACCTTCTTTCCAAACTTCCAGAAGAATGAAGCTTCCAATGACCACATCTCATCCGGCCCATCAATTTCATGACTAGCATCATTCACAAGCTTCTCTTTACTTTGAAAGCTTCTAGAGATTCCATGAAGCTAAACATAACCACTCAAAAGGGTTCCGATAATGCTCATGAGTTGTCTAGACAACTGTTCACCGATGATAGGAGAATTCATTCGTTGGTGGGTACCGTCTTCCTTTCCTTTCTCGTAAGTTCACGAGACACAGTGCACATACACAACACATAGGGCAGACATGCGGCGCCAGCACGTCAACATCCTATTTTATCATTCCATTCTCTCCCCATGCAGGAAGCGGGCACGATAATCATTGGAGAGATTCCAATCCCGAGAACTTTATTCTTTGAAATGTTACATCTATGACCCTTCGACAACCTTCTGATGATACTCTGAATATTTAGCATGAATGCGAAATAAGCAAATTTTCCATCTTTTTTGAATCATCAATGCAAGAGAACTCATGCAAACCTTCATTTTCGTTAGCAATCTTTTTTTTTGGATGAAAGATGCGGTGACAACGAATTCTTTCCACATGACCAGGGTAGCTCGATAGACAATGACTTTAGACCATGACTTTACGAAGCACAGAAGTCTCGAGAAGGTTGCAACCCACTAATGTATCCACTAATGTATCCAATGTATCCACCAATGCATCCACCAATGCATCCACCAATGGACCAATTGTACCCGATTTTGAGTGGCCCGGGCATGACTAATCCAGATAAAGCTTAGTCAATATTGGACCCCCTCATGTTCATCGATAACCTCATTTTGGACTGAAGACGGAAAAAAATAAAAATCTTTTCTTTGGACAGCGTCCCAAAATTGTATGGTCAACTCTCCGCCCACTACAACCACCAACCGTGGATTGATTCATTCCCCCATTTACCATTGAATTACCTGATTTCCCAATACGGTAATTATAATCATAATCGCTCCAGTCATTACCGTAATTCCTCAAATATATCAAGAATCATTGGCTGAATGGTGGAAATTGCATAAAGTGGATAGAATACAACCAAATACAACCTATCAAGACAATCAACACCCACCACACCCAGGCAGGTAAATCTTTTCAAGGATTCATTGAATAAATTTTCCTTTTACCTCACAATCTTTGCTTCGATTCATCCATTCATCTTCCGGTCCTACCAACCCCTCAATTCTACCCATACAAACCCACCCATTTCCTCCCAACCTTGTCTTTTTCCTTGCTCATTGTTGGTCCCATCTGCCGTATTGGGAAAAAGAAAAGAGCTTACACTCATTGCCTTACCACATCACAAGTCTCTCCGACTTTTTTCTCCCAACCTGCAAGTCAACCTCACTCCATCTCCTCTTTTTTTCCCCCCTTGTGTTGCCATCTCACAAGAAGGAAAAAAGTGAGTAGAAGAGAAAGTAAACATCCAGGTTCTCCCGGATGTCTCTTTTTCGATACATTTCTCACCTACCATACGCAATTTTCAATCCAACCATGTTCGGTCGTTTGTTAGGTCGTACCGCTTCCCCTCCAAGGGCTATTGGAGCTCCTCTTTCTCGCACAACTACTACTACATCAGGTGGAGAGGATTCAACTACGTCTGCCGAGCGAGATGCTAGGGATAAGGAAATCGTCGAGGCTGCTGTCGAGGAGGCTGTCAAGAAGGCCTTGAACTCGGATGTATTTTCAAATGCCATCGCTACCTCTTTGGTCTCGCAGATCAAACCAGCCTTCGAATCATCTATCAGTTCTATTCCTACCGCCATTCAAAATGTTTCCCTGAATGTTGATGCTGTCGATACAAAACTCGCTGCCACAGCTACCAAGCTTTCCCAACAAATCGATGCTAGCAATGCAGAGACTGCAAGCAAATTAGCTGCCATCGAGGAAGCTATTGCTAAGATTACATCTTCATTGGAGGGATTGAGTGAGAAGTCTTCTTCTCCTCAAGATACATCGGTTTTGGAATCACACACTTCAAAGTTGGATGGAATCGCTACAGACGTTGCTGCTCTTAAGAGTGCTACAAATGAGGAGGCTTTCAATGCCATCACATCCGACCTTGCTATTATCAAGAGTGATGTTGCCGCCATCAAGGAATCTGATTCAAGTGCTACCTCCAAGGATATTCTCTCCGCTGTTAACTCTTCCAACGAATCACATGCTTCCCATGCTGCGGTTTTGAACGAAATCAAGTCTGCCGCTGAAGGACATGCTTCAACTCTTGGAGAGATTAAATCTACTCCTGCTTCTGCCCCAACTGATATTTCTGGCCTCGAGAACTCCATCAAGGATATTGCTACCTCCGTTGAGGAAATCAAGTCCGCACCTGCACCATCTACTGTCGATATCTCTGGCCTTGAATCATCTGTTAAGGAAATTCTCTCTACTTTGGGTGAGGTTAAGGAAACTGTTTCTGCTCCAGCTGCCGCTGTTGAGAAGACTGATATTTCTGGATTGGAAGCTTCCGTCAAGGAGATCTCTGCTACCGTCAATGAAATCAAATCTACCCCAGCTCCAGCTCACGAAACCATTGACCTCTCTCCAATCGATGCTCAACTTAAAGAAGTTGCTTCTAACGTTGCATCTATCAAGGAATCTACCTCTACACCAGCTGCTACCCCTGAACCAACTGATATCTCTGGCTTGGAATCTTCTGTCAAGGAAATCATCGCTACTCTCCAAGATATCAAGACTTCTACTGGTGCAGCTCCTAAGGAAGTTGATTTCTCTCCAATCACATCTACCCTCGAATCCCACAAGAGCACTCTTGAGGAGATCAAGTCTTCCGCTTCTGGACCCGTCGACCTTTCTTCCCTTGAATCCGCCGTTGCTGAAATCAAGGCAGCTCTCGAATCTCATTCCGGTACTCTCAACGAAATCAAGTCAGTTCCAGCACCAGAAAAGACTGATCTCTCTACCATTGAGAGCTCCGTTAACGAGATTAAGAACATTGTTGAGGAAATTAAGGCCAAGGAAACCCCATCTGCTGAGAAGGTTGATTTGAGCAATGTTGAGTCCTCAATTGAATCCATCAAGGCATCCGTTGAGGAAATTAAGACCAAGGAATATCCAGCTGCCGAGAAGGTTGATTTAAGCAATGTTGAATCATCTATCGAGTCTGTCAAGGCAATTGTTGAGGAAATCAAGACTAAGGAGACCCCAGCTACCGAAAAGGTTGATTTGAGCCAAATCGAGTCATCGATCGAATCCGTCAAGGCATCTGTCGAGGAGATCAAGACTAAGGAGACCCCAGCTGCCGAAAAGATCGATTTGAGCGCTATTGAGGCATCAATTGCCTCTATCAAGAGCACGGTTGATGAGATCAAGGCTAAAGAATCACCAGTTCCAGAATCAGTTGATTTGAGCAAGATTGAATCTTCCATCGAGTCCGTCAAGTCCATCGTTGAAGAAATCAAGGCCAAGGAGGCTCCAGTCCACGAAAAGATTGATCTAAGTGTAATTGAGGCATCCATTGCTTCAGTTAAGAGTACTGTGGATGAAATCAAGGCTACTCCAGCTCAAGAACAAAAGGCAGTCGATCTTTCCAACATTGAGTCTTCCATTGCAGCTGTTAAGGCCACAGTGGATGAGATTAAGGCTACACCAGCTCCAACTCATGAAGCTACTGACCTTTCTAACATTGAATCATCTATTGCTGCCGTCAAATCATCCGTCGATGAAATCAAGGCTACTCCAGCACCAGAGAAGATTGATCTCAGCTCAATTGAATCATCTATTTCTGAAATTAAGGCAGCTATTGAAGAAGTCAAGGCATCACCTGCACCAGAAAAGATCGATCTTTCCAACATCGAATCCTCCATCGCTTCTGTCAAGACTACTGTTGATGAAATTAAATCTACCCCAGCTCCATCTTTCAAGGAAACTGACATCACTGGTCTTGAATCTTCCGTCAAAGAAATCATCACAAGCATCTCTGCTCAAGATGGTGTCTTGACTGAAATTAAGACTACGACTGAGAAATTCGATACCAAGGAAGTTTTGACCATGGTTGAGTTGATTACTCAAGAGGGTGTTTTCTTGAATGAGAAGGGACTTGGTCAAATCAAGGACAATGTTAAGACTATTGAGTTGAAGTCACCAGCTACACCAACATCACCAACAACTCCAACTTCTCCAACATCTCCAGGATCTCCATCATCTTCGACATCCCCATCAAAGTCTACCCTTAAGAAGAAGAAGAGAAAGGCTGCTGCTGCTGCGGCCGCTGCGGCCGCATCAGGAAATGCTACTCCTGAGGCTAAGTCTGAAGCCGAGAACGAACAAGCGGCCTAAATATTCTTTTGATTTTCAATCTGTTTAATTAGGGGAATATTCATCAAAAGGGAGAACAAGTGATGGGTGTATGACGGTGGAGAATCGAGTGGATGGATATGATGAATGTCTACTAATACTGGACAAAATGACAACTATATGGAGGAGCTAATAATGATGATGTAATGGGGGGATAGTCTTCTAACATGTCTAATGGATACCAAAACTTTGTATACATTTCTATCATATTTTTGAGCATTTACATTTGTATTTACTGTGGCTTTTGCTTGATTTGCATTACACATTTTGCGATGTTTCATTGCATTGCATTGTTTGCAAATATGCGAGCATTATACCCGTCTCTTGCTTTATTGATGCAGGTGTGTATGTATCGAGATGGGGAATAAGAGGTGATTTTTATGAATTATGATGATTGTTGATGGAAGATGGGGGGATGAGTGATAGTCGGTGGTGTTAGTTAGCAGTGGAGGGTGGAGGGGGTAAATAGAAATATGTGCTTTTGTCTTATACTTATGACTTTCCATTTTGATTTAAGTTGTACGTGCTTGTGTTTGTGTTTGTGCGTGTGCGTCTGCATGTAATACATAGTTGTACTTGTGATACTCGCACAACTCTATGGTCGTTACATCCCCGCAAAACAAAACATAATGTCGGGGATGTGATGTGATGTGATGTGATACCTAGGTTTCTTCCTTAGCCGGGACGGACTCTCATAAAGGGTTGTACAATGGCTTGGGATTGGGATTGGGATTGGTGAGCAGTAGGGGGCGAGAGTGGGAGGGAATGTGAATGTGAATCCTTGGAGTGAGGTTGCAGAGTATGGAGTTGGTGTTGTAAGTATCAGTATATGTTGTTGGGTTGGATCATTTTTATTACTCCGGTTCTCGTTCCTTTCTTATGCAGAGCGCAGCGAATGGATATTTGTAAGGACAACGTTTCGTCTTTCCGTCCTGTTTATCTTGTCTCCATTGTCTCTTATATCTTTATGGGGATCTCCATTATTTCATTCTGAGCTTTATACTCATTTTTATTGTCACTCACTCTCTTTTTGTCCTTTTTTGCTGGCTGCTAGCTTACTATAGTGGTATTAATTTTGTATTTTAGGATCGATGAGGTTTTTGTACTGTACTGTATTGTATTGTATGTTTTCACTCGAGTCTTGGGAAAAGGGAGAGGGGGGAAGTGGGGGGATGAATAAATGGATGAACTGTATTTTATTGTATTGTTGCATCAACAGATCAAATATAGTTTTAGTTTCAGGTGAAATAAAAGTCTGAGTCGGGGTCTTGGACGCAGACTCACATTTGCATCAAGGATGTTGAATTTGGATTGAAATAAAATGAGATGAGACTTCTGGTGCTCCCATCTGTTGTCTCATGCTTGTATTTTGGTTTAAGTGGAGGATGAGATGTGATATGATATGATGGTATATCCTATGGGTGTTTCTCTTGCGGATTTCGATTATTAGGTGTGAGAATACTGATGGGATTGTTGAGGAATAGAGATTAGAGACGGGGCATTTATACTTATATATTCCATCTATTGCCAAGGGGAAAGGAAAAAGAAAAGAGAAAATGCCACCCTCTCATCAACGACATCGTCGATCGCCTTTTGAACGTACTTCATTCCGCCGTACTTCGTCGGGTTCGAGTTCCTTGAGGTCGTTTTCCGAGATCCAGTCTCATTCTCCTACTACCCCTCAGTTATCAAATCTCAAAATCTCGGGATGGGAGAATGGAAATGTTGTGATTCGAAATGTGGATACGGATAAACACTCTGTGAGTTTTCATCCTACGGTTACCGTGACGATTTGTCAAGATGAGATGGCTGCGACGAGAAAAGAAGATGGAGATACTTCCCAATCGCAACCTCAATTTCAAATCCTCCGGTGCGAAAACATCAAAGGAGGGATAGAGGGAAAAGATACAAGTCTAGCTTCTAGTAGTATATACTCCACCGACACACTTGGATATCCAACTACGGACCCCGATGAAGATGCAGACAATGGATCATATGCATCTTGTTCATCTATCCCGACGGTTCCGGAACTTTCGCTTGAGACGTTGACTTCGAGATCTAAGGTTTCGGTTTCTGATGCTTCGGTTTTGAATGCGCCGGGGGAAGATGATGGGGAATTGGGAGTATCGATGGCGAATTCACGAATGCAGCGATGGAAAACTCTTGGGAGTCGGAGGACGGGAAATGGGGATGGAGTGGGGGAGAAAAATGAATCAAGGAATGGGAATGGGAAAGGGAATGAAAAACGTGAGAAGAGGATAAGACCTTTCCTGAGGAAATACTGTCTTCATCCTTTTAGTATGAGGAGTAGTTTTCGCTTGGTGGGGTGGATTGAGGATCCGGTTGGTTGTTGTGTGGGGTGAGTTGATTTCTCGCATTTGTTTTTAAGTTTGCTTCGTTTTTGGACGAGGAAAGGCGAAAGTTTGATGTATGATGGATGAGTATAGAGACTTTGGGCTTGGGGGTTTGATTGAGGGGGTTGAAGTGGGAATACTTGTTATGTGGTTGCATAGGTGGATGACCATTTTCGCGTCTTTTCTTTCGTTTTGGAGTTGATGGAATCTCCTCTTATTAATTTTTCTGCTCTGTATCTGGAGTTGACATCTTTCTCTTCTTTTACTCTCCTATTTCCGTGTGTTTCCCCTCACACTCCCCCTACCTTAGTAAAAAACCTTTCACCTCGCTTCCTCATTCGGTTAATCGTCCCGTCACTTTCCAAGCTAACAATCATTCACGTATAGTCACGGAGCTGCCTATGGAACGGGGTATGCATATGGAGGAGGAATAGGAGATGCAAGGCTATGGGATGAAGCGAGACGGAGCGGATGGGAGGGGGGATTATATTGAGAAAAAGTGAAGTAAAACAAGATGAAGGTAGTTATGATGATAGTGCGAGGAACTCTGCATGAGACAAAAAGTGGTTTCTTTAAGTCTCCTTCTTCCCTAGCAAGGTTTCACGAAAGGATCTTCTTGTGTACATGTATTCATCTGAATTCTATTGTTCGATGACCATTTTATCTTATTGATTTTTCTCCCTTTCTTTTTCCAACTAACTGTTTTCATCTCTCTATTCTTCATTGATTCATTTTCTTCATTTACCTGTCCTTGAATTTCTCTTCTTCTCCTGCTCCTATTTCTCATGTTGTCCCATTCTCCATCCCCCAACCTCTAATCTTTTTCTCAACTTCTCCAATCAATTAGCATCAGAAGGTAATATAATGAAATGAAATGGTTTGGATATTTTATAGATCTGCCTGATGTTTATGGATGATATAGTTGGGGTGTATTTCGAGAATCAAGAAATAGGCACAAGTTTCGTATAGTGCTGGAATCGTGAGGATATATGTACGAATTTTTGCTGAAGAATTATAATATACTCCGATTCTTGTATATATATTCATGCCAATACGAGAAAATTAATGGTCGAATTCAGCGTTAGGATGGCATGTGTCACTTGTCACTTGTCATTTTAGACAAGTCTAAAGCTTGATTGTTTAGCTGAAAGTTAAGTGTATATTAGCTCGTTCGCTAGATGGAAGAATGCGGGGTCGACATTAAGGAGAAGCGATGGAATGTTCACAGTATTTGTTTTTATTACATTGATAGTTTTTATAGATATGAGTACGGAAATATAGGTCAATCTAATGTAAAGACGTGGATCGGGGATGATTCCAGGGTATTAAAATAGATGTGAAGATTCAAAACCAAAAGTTGATGAACTCAGTTGTTTCTTATCCCCTTTGGTAGGTACATCAGAGCTCCTTTTTGTCAAAATTTATGAGCCCTCGGATAATCTTTCATGACCGAATAATGCATGTAAACATGTTTCTCTCGATACCAAAACTCTATCTTCCCACCCTCGCAAAAATAACATCGCAAGTACACAACCACAGACCTACCTCTCATCCAAAAATAAAATCTTGATGAACATGCTTCTCGCTATCGCTCATTGACGAAAACTTGTGTGGGGCTCGGGAGGGATGGTGAATCTATTTACGAGAATATGGATTGTGAGACGTTGAGCGAAAAGAATGCAGAGAATTGCGAAGACTTGGGGCAAAGACGAGCATGTTGTTTGGGAGGATGGGAATTCTGAGGGCTTGGGTAAAAGAAATGGAGCAAAATATTTGATATCGGGAAATGACTGATGCGAGATGTTGAAGTGTGGAAAAGGGGGGAGGGAAGAGGAATAGGCTGAATTACATTAGGTAGGTATGTTTCTTTGTATATAATCTCTACTCGTCTAAACTGGCTTTTAGAACTTTAGATTACAAACCTACCAGCTGCGAACCACCAACGCCTTGAGATTTCCATTCGTTTTATTCGTGAAGGTAGAGTTCAAGCTCATGAAACTCATCCACTATACTGACATATATTAAAGTATGCTCGGGAGTTCCGAGTTCTCGGTCCCTATTCTACTGAAGTGTTCGCTTCTCTTTCTTTCCGAAAAATTGTGATTAGAAGGGGTATGCAGGCTTACTATGACGTGGAAAATGCGAAAAAAGGGAAAGGGGGGTGGGATTTTAATACTAGATAACGTCGATCAAGTGTGTTGGAAAATTTGGGCAGTGGGAGAAAGCACCAGAGAGATATAGGAAGGGTGTCGAGTCCCAAATGGGAGAGTTGAACGAACGGATAACAAACGAATATGAAGTATTTAAGTTAGGGACTTTGGACGAAGAAGAAGTTGACCGCTGGGCTATAATATGATGATTTATAAAATCTATATATTTGGGGGCGTCACATCATGCTATTTTCAGGAAGCATTATACTTGATGATAGATGAATTTATTTGTAAAGAGTCTATGCCACCCACGCAGTGATGCTTTAATACTACCATAGATATAAAACTCTAGCCGGAGTCAATCCAAACGCCAACGGTATAATATACCATAGCATACCAGCATCAACTAAATTACAACCCCATTTTATTCATTATCATCATCCTCATCATCATCAATAGATTCCACAATCAAGTTCGCACTCTTGCCAACTCTCTCCCCGATTGTCCCCCCCCTTCAATTTCATACACTTCTCTCGGTATGCTTTGCACTAGTCTAAAATTATATTTGTGTTCATATCCTTCCGGCTTTTGCCCATTGTATTCCTTGCCAGATTCGAGTAAATCATGACATTCAACAAATGCGTAAAGTTCTTCGATTCCTGAATTCGCTTCGAAACGTCGAGTAACCCTCGCACCTTCTGGCATTCTCAATGCAACTCGAACGATACTGGTTCCTGGCTCAGGTTCTGGTTGGATGCTTTGTACTCGCCATTGTTTCCATTGTTCTCGATTTTCGGCTAATTTGGCAGCAGCTTCTTCTTCTTCCTTCCTCCTCTTCTCTTCTGCTGCAGCGGCAGCTTCTGCTTCCTTTCTCTGTCTAGCACGTTCTCTATCTTGTGCTAAAGACTGCTCATAGGCAGAATCTTGTTCTTCTCTTAATGTGCGCTCGAAGTTTTGCGCTGAACGTTGTGCACGAACTGCAGCTAATTTCTCGGAATGCTGTCCCATTGCGCTTTGCAATTTCGCTACGAATGCGCCAGGTGCTTCTTGTCCAGAGATTCTAGCAATAACTGACATTGATGTAGCTCCTTGGTCGGGTGTATGGGTAATTAAGGCTGTGAATGGAAATTTGGTACATCTCAAAGCTGAAGAGACTTGATATGCTTCTGAATCGCGTACATCCCCCATCCAAAATATTATGTTATTGGTTTTATCTCCCAGGAATGAGGTGACTTCTTCGGAGAGTAAAGTTTGATGCACGAAATCGGATGTATCATCATGTTCCGGAGACATTAAATGAACAATAAGGAATTTTAAATCCTTTTTTGCAAGATCCAATGCTTGCGCATAACCCCCATCGAAAAATGGTATATTATTTGGTCCATATTCTTCCTCGAATTCCCGCTTTGTGCGTGTTGCTGCATCTCTCGGTTTGAGTGACCTCCGTCCCATTGTATTTGATGCGCCGGTAGGTGTGAACCTTGGTAGGAAAGGAAACAAAAATGCAAAGGCTCTATATCCCATCGAGAAAATTCTATAGAGCACACTAAATGGTGCGAACAGTATGGCGAAAATAAGATTTGGTCTTCGAATTACTTGATCTTCCGGTTGAGGAACAATTCTTGGAGCCGAGTCCACATTTTGAGCTCTCGATCGATTTGAGGATTCGTTAAGGAGACTATATTGAAGATTCTCTTGTCTCGGAGCTCGAGGAGGTGGGACATTTTGAGCTGCTAGCCCTGCTGTCGTCAAAGAATCATCTTCGCCGTCAAAGAACTTTGCGATTGCAATCTATTGAGAGTTAATACAGAGACGAATATGGGATTATTGAAGGACAAGGCTCGAATTCTTACCTCAACACTCCATTGTGATCTCTGCAATAGAGGGACTGCTTGATCTACTTCTTGACCAGTTACCGCAAGTAGTTGTTGTAAAGCTGCCTGCTGTGTTTCGGACAGCTGGCTAATATCGGTATCTGGAGTAGCCATTGTTTGTGTTGTCGGTTTATTTGTCGTATTGTCCAAAAGACAGAAGTTACTTGAGATAAATTTGCATATTCAGTAGAAATGATGAATGCCGTAGTAGTGGCCAGATAATAGCGAATCGTCCTTTATATTCAAATTAGACTTGGTGTGATATCACGATTCACTAGGTAGATATTAGCTCAGAAGGACGGATACAGTTCTAGAATTAATGATGATTGTTCAATGATTGAGCCACATATCGGCATCGGATAAACTAGACTCCCGTTCAAGCCACAACAAGGCTGAAAATCTGGATCCACCTCTTTATCGGATCGCATTAACTTCTGGTGCATCACCACCAGCCAGCCAGTGTTCCCACCTTCAAAGGAACCTCCACCCCGCGTCATATATATTATGATATCTTCAGCCTCAACACGACTATTAGTCTAAACTTTCATTGAATGTGCTAGATGTCACATTGGTTTTGATCTGTCTGTTCCTTGGCAGGATTCTTTGTATAGCTCTTATGTTGAGAATCATTTCTACTTATTAAACCTCATACAAGGACCAATCTTCGTTTTATTGGATTTTAGGAAATGTCAGCCAGATTCAAGTGAGCAAAAAGTGCATCCATCACTTACCCCCTTTATTTTAACCCTTTTACGCGTCACTGCGGTCAATACTCTTTTGAAAACGCTAGATGATACTTGAAACTGCCTCATTAGTCGAATTGAACCGAGCTAACATGATTCCTTTTCAATAGGCTTCCTAAAGTGTCATTGGGGTTCGGCAGATAGTTCTATTCACCTTGAAGCAAGAATTTTAAAATATAATATAAAACGATGGCGGCTACAAGATTCAATCAACCCGAACTTCGCAGACCGACGAGTTCTCCGAGGCCGAAAGGACGTGGTATGTTTTAGGCGCATTCTTGGGTTGATATACGTAGGAAATAAAAACGGATATTGATGAAGCTGTACTAGAAAACGCAAAGGATACACTATGTCGAAATGTTCTGATATATGGGCATTGCCGTTATGAGGATCAAGGTTGTGCCTTTAATCATGATCCTAACAAGGGACTTGGAGGAATAATCGATCAGTGAGTTGATTTCAGTTTCTTCGAATTCAAATAAAGGATATAACCCTTTTCAATTTCGATCTCGCCAAATATTTGGACTTCCAGATGAATTTCGCCTTAGACTTTGGGAATGATCGCCATTGGGTTTGAAATTTAATGGAGTTGAATTCTGAGTGAATTGGCACTCTGTTCACTACCATGGGGCCAAGCGTCCAAATTCCATGATTTGTTGCGCCGGATATGATTCCTTTCCTCGAATTAGCTTGCCTCCATGGCAGTGGCCCTTGCAGAGCCAACGGAACCTCATTCCAGCTAAAGCTGCTAAAGCTGAGATGTATTTCAATGGCAACCGTGAAAAATAACATTTCGACCCTTTACTGGGAAAGTTATGTGTTGCTTTGAATTCGCAGACTGTTGAATGATTTCAAGTCGTCGACACTATATACTTTGCAAAGTGTGGCAGTCGCTGTTTTCCAGCAATAGAGGGAAATGATCTGGAGCTGTGATAGTCCCCCGAAGTTCGCTTTCGTCGGTTCGAATATTGCGCAAAGCCTGTCTCCGTATTTATACTGTGATTCTGCAATTGATCATACTCCTTTTCCACTGTACAAAAACTGTCTGACTTCGGGGGTATTTGGACCATGGCTACTGGCAATTTACCCAGTCTCGTGGTTGGCTCCTGCTGTGATAGGATTGTCGTGGGGGTGCTACTTGCCTATCCTGTTTTCATCACGACTCTATTCGAATCGCATTTCATTTTGATACCGAATACGATCTTTCTACTCTTCATTGCACAACCATCTCTTGTAACATCAAGGACACCAAATTTTATGGAGATGCAGGTTTTAGTCAATAGAAATTTCAGGGAAACAGCTCCAAGGTCACATTCTACATCTATGGATTGCACGGACTCGATGGATTACCAAGTCTAAGTCGATCACAAAGAATGGATGATTCATGGCAGAAGCCATGGTTGGTCAAAAACCGAAAGAAAAATACAGTCTTTCAAAAACAACGCATTAGCCCCATAAAAAGTCCTCGCAAAAGAGTTCGGAAAGATACAAACACTTCGGGCTCGACAGACTATTCCCCAACCAGCAGTCAGACAGACTTCAATCATTCTTCAATCAATCCGCAACAACAAAGTCGTCTTGCAATACCTTATCACCGTGGAGATTTGAGATCGAATGAGAGGCCAGAACAAAAACTTCCACTGTCGAATACTAACTTTAACGATGATAGGCCAAAGAAAGTATTGAACGTAGATTCGCCTTCTTTCACACCAGCAACAATATCCTCATCCAATAAAGGAGCATCTTCAATAACTTCACAAGCTGCAAATGCGGCACCATTCACTCCTCGAGGACTCACGAGTGGGACCGCTACACCAAATGCACCACTTGACCCAGAGATACCTCAATTTAATCCCACACAGAGGGACTTTACTCCACAGAACTATGATCTCTCTCAGACTGTAAGCGCACCACTTCATCTATCCTTAATTATTATCTCCTTGTTCAACTCAGGCATGAGTGTATTTATTGGTTATACTGAACAAAGTACTGATGTAAAATAAGCTACCCACCAACGGTGCCACACCTGAAGCTACTTATGATCCTTTCTCGATGGGAAATGTCTCTCAAGCGATTCCCACCACTTTTCAAAACCACTATTCTGAAGACCTTGGCATTTTAGCAGGACCAGGTGTAGCAGGTGGAGGAACAGGTGGAACCTACTTTCAAGGACAACCAAGCTATAATTCCCAGCCTTTAAATTACCACAACTACGCCCCGATTGGTCCACATACGGAAAATTTGATGCCATATCAAAAATCTATCCATGATCTTTTCCTATCCGACCGGCTTCGTGAAGAGCTTCAAAGAAAGTCTGAAGCAGCTCATCAAGTAATGCCAAGTAAGCATGAGAAATATTATGATGATTTCATTACTAATCAAACTAGATGCCCTTCCGCACATTGGTACATCACCGAACTCATACTATTCTCTCGTCGCTCTAGACACAACTCAGAATAGGAGCACCGCTGTTTTTGGCTGCACAAGTTGGGTATATAAAGCGCGTTCAGAAAGGGATGACAAATATTACTGCTTGAGACGACTAGAAGGTGAGGCAGCTACATTCATTCCTTTCTATGAACTAGTACTAACGAATGATAGGTTATACTCTTGCCAATGATAAAGCCATTCGAGCCATCAAGAAATGGAATGAAGTCAATAGTGCGGGTGTAGTATCATTCATTGATGCTTTTACCACACGACAATTCAAAGATGGTAGTTCATTAATCATTGTCACAAATTACCACCCACTTTCAAAAACTCTTTTAGAACTTCACTTTTCCACCGCAACTACAAGCCGTTATAGAAATCAACTTCCTCGGATATCTGAAGACATTCTTTGGTCATACATTGTACAAATCACAGTTGCAATCAAGGCTGTTCATCAGGCTAATTTTGCTGTACGATGTATGCATTTGAGTAAAGTTATTCTTACAGACAAAAATCGAATTCGTCTTAATGCATGTCCTATCTTCGACATCTTACATTACGACCAACGTCGGGACATCAAGGAACTTCAATATGAAGATTTACATTTATTCGGCATACTTATGTTATCCTTAGCCACAGTCAATGCATCAATTACACCTCAAACCAACCCTCAAATTTTGCAAACCAACATTGATAGCCTTAGTCGAATCTACTCTGCAGAACTTGTCGATACAATAACATGGCTTCTCACAACGCCTTCTTCCCCGGAGACTAAAGACTTACAAACTTTCATGCGAGGAATCTCCGGCCGTATGGCCACTGCCTTCGATAGCTCCCTCCAAGCCAATGACGAATTAACCTCCGACCTGTATCGTGAGCTCGAGAATGGTCGACTCGTTCGCTTAATGGCTAAACTTGGCAATGTTAATGAAAGACCAGAATATGAAAATAACCCTCAATGGAGCGAAACCGGAAATCAATATACTTTGAAACTATTCAGAGATTATGTGTTTCATTCGGTTGATCCGGAAGGAAGACCAGTTACGGATATGGCGTGGATTTTAAAGTGTTTGAATAAATTAGATGCGGGGAGTGATGAGAAGATTCAATTGACGAGTAGAGATGGAGAAAATTGCTTTATTGTTAGTTTCAAGGAGCTTAAGAAACAAGTCAATACTGCTTGGGGGGATTTGCAGAAGTCGGGGAAGAGATTTTAGCGTGGTGGATCAAGAGGAGAAAACCCTGGCTTGATGGAAGGTGAATTAGCGATACATTGGAAACAAATAGTTGTCGTTATCGACCTCATGAATAAGGCTTATGAAAAGTTTACATTTAGTGGACTTTGATGAGGTGTGGGTATAATTGGGAGGGGAGAAATGGGATGATAGCGAAATATTGAATTGGAAAAGCACAAGTAGGAGAAACAATCAAGGAAATTTATTTTATGATATGTGTCTGTCTTGTGAGTGTCGACATTTGATGCTGGGGAATAATGGAGGGATATAGAATCAGATGTATAAGATACATTGTGATCGGTAGCAAGTGAGAGTCCAAGTGGGTTATATAAAGCCTTGTCTCTCAGCCTAAGACTAGGTGTGTATTGGTTGCACATATAAGTGGTGGACTACATCAAGGAGAGATAAAGTAGGGTTTCATGGCACGCATGTTCTCATTTACTGCGAGTAATAATCAGTAAGAAGCAATACTTACACAATTCTGTATATCCCCAGTCTTCAACCGTTGGACTGATCCCAATTCCGAAGTCCCTAAATGAAATGCTCGTTGCCGGTCTCAATATCATGCCCTGAATGATCTCGTGATACTGTCGCCACGTGACCACTCCCTAATTTTCGGCATCACATCCATACTCGGTTAGAATTCAAGATTAACACCATAGTAATCATTCGACTTGATAAATCGATGTTGGATAGATTGTTCATGGATTTTCACTTTTTCCCTTTATGAGAAATTGTGGGATGAAAACGAGGGTCAAGTTCCCGAGGTCTGCCTAAACTAAGCCGAAAATGATTAGCCTCAATGGTTCAACATCAGGCGTACCTAGATCTTACATCAATGATATCAAATCCTGAACAATCTTGCAATATCTTCTCCTGTTCTGTCTTAGGCAGAGCAGGCAGAGCAGGCAGAGCATTCTGGGATTAAATCATTATCATCCCGACATTTCATCTTGTATGTACACATAATCTGAGCAACGAGATATAAATTCCGACGACTATTCTCATGGTGAAGAGCAAACAAATTCGCTGGATCCATCGTCACTACATACACATACAACCATTAAAACGAGAGAAAGCAAAAATATCCTCGAAAACTTTTCACAATGCCAGATTATCCAGGTCTCGGCCTTCCCTTGCACTATGATCCACAGAAAGTCTCCGACAACATAAGTCATTATCCAATTGGTGCCCATCAAGGCTGTTGGGGTGCGAAGTCGAAACTAATTTACGTCCGAGAGCTTGCCATGATGAGCATTATGGACCATCTCACGGATAAGGAAGATTGGCATAAGAAAGTCTTCAACGAGAACATTGTTTCCAAGTGGCGTGCAGAAGCTCTAGCCATTCCAGACGAGCAATTTTGGATGATGGCGTTTCGTGATAAACGACAAACTCGGAGCTACGACGGCAAGATTAACTTTGGTCACGATGACCTTGGCAGACAAATAGAAGAGATCATGGATGCCAGTACTTTTGATTGTGTAAGTGCCTCTCCGCATAATGTCTTCTGTTGCTAACCTGATGTTGAAAAGTGTATCGAAGAACTTCGAAGTAAGGCTAAACATTATGAGAAAACCAGTGTAATCCCAACTCTTGACGCCTGCGCATCTGTTGCCAAATCTGATCATTTGGTCTCTGCTGAGCTCCATAAATCTCTGCGCGAGGCGTTTGAGACGCTCAAGAGGGATCAATATTCATCACTTGACTGGCATCCGAACTCGAGAGAAATGGTTCAAGATCTTGTACATCCTTCAATGTACCCTTTAGTCTACGGTCGTAGTCGAGTCATGAAGGATGAAGTCGTTGGAGTCGATGATGCCATTGAGAAATGGGCAGGAAAAGGTGAGATCATCCCATTGGGAGGGGCAAGCTTCAAGCAAACAAGCGCCACCACTAAGGGATATCAAAGTTGCGGCGCAGGACGAAAGCATTATTGGTCAAACAAATATCAATGGTTGCCTGCAAACATAGCTTTCCAAGAAGATGGCACAGTCAAGTTTACCAGTTACATCAACAACATTCATCCCATCAAATACCCTGAGATTTACCGCACAATTGAAAAGTTGGTGGAAACTACTCTTCCTTTATGGAATCAATGTCTTGCTCTTAATATCGACTACGATAAAAATTATGGTGCGGGAAGGCTAGAGCCTCGGTTCCCATACCCTGATGTCCGGGAGTAGGTGTTTCTCCCAATCCTTTCAGGATGAGTATTTTAATTCTGACTTGATTCCAGCGACGAAGATACGGAGCTTTGGAATCCTCCGGGCCCTAAGCAATTAGTTAGCCAAAATAAATCCAATTTTGACACTGGTGATGAAGATGAAATAGATATCGAGTGTACTGACGATGAAATGGAAGAGGAAGAAGCTGAAGAACGATGGAGGCAAACACGCGAACCCGTCATTCCAGAGCCTTGTTTCAAAGATGTTGACTATTCAATCAAGATTCGCCTCGAACATCAATTTCAAGAGTCCGGTCTCCAAATCATCATCAAGATGGCATCCATTGAACTTACTCCCGAAAAGCCTGAATTTCCGGCGGGTAGTTGGCATGTGAGTGAAGATATCTTATCCGAAAAAAGTTTAACTCTAACATAACTCAAGATCGAGGGACAAATGAATGAGCACATTGCCGGTACTGCGCTCTACTATCTTGATAGTGAAAACATCACCTCAAATGACCTCTCATTCCGTATGCAGACACCGGAGGAAAATTACGATGACCTCGGCACTGGACAAGACTCCTATTCTTGGCTAGAACAGGTTTTTGGAACAAATCTGGGACAAGGAAAATCACCATGTCTTCAAAATTATGGCAGTGTTAAAACACGTCAGGGAAGACTGCTTGCTTTTCCTAACGTCTTGTAAGTTAATGGCTTGGTTCCTTGATCATTAGGTACTAACGCATAAAAAGTCAACACAAAGTTTCATCTTTTCGCTTAGAAGATCCGACCAAACCAGGCCATCGACGATTTATCGCCCTATGGCTCGTGGACCCAACCTTGCGTGTCATTTCCACTGCCAACGTCCCACCACAACAACTGGATTGGTGGGTCGACTCTGTATTTGGAAATACCCCGGAGAGTCGGAGAGAAGCTATGTCGAAGCTTCCTGCGGAATTAGTAATGCTCTTGAATGAGAACGGCTTAAATTTGGATACTTCGGCAAAAGATATGAAATTCTCCCCGGAGTTGATGGAAATGGTGCGAGAGCACTTCAATACCGGTGGCGATCCATTACTTATGGGAGTCGAGGAGGCCAAGGAGCATAGGCTTAAACTGATGGGGGAACGTGGCGCGTTTGTGAGAACGGTTGGTCAGGAATGGCATGATTTGAGTTATAATTTCTGCGAGCATTGAGTTGATCGTTAATTTCGCATAAGGTCGATTTGAAAGATATTATGATGCTTCAGTCGACATCCGCATGCCATGGCTTAGCAATTTAGTGTCGAGAGACAGGTCAGAATAGAAGATAGGATCGGGCCGCAACAAAAACTTTGGCTTTTTGATTTGGAGTACAATTCCCTTGGTTAGTTTTGAAGATTTGGCGGGATGTTGAAATCATTCCCAACTTCTTAATAGCATGCGTTTCCATTCTAAAGAGGACTTGTTTAATTCCAGTTAATGACAAAAATTTACATGCTCAAATTCTTTCAGTGTCGGGGCTTGGGTGTGTAATACTCAATGTGGTTGTCCACTTTCGTTTTCCACTATCTCAACAACGTCTAGATACGCTGATTATAAATTCTTCACATTCTTGTTGAAAGATTGTTCTATTGCCAGTTTCGACTCTGCTATTACCTGCTAGAAAGAAAGACGACCGGTGAAAAGAGTTTTGATCCCTTTCTAATCCCCGCTTTCGTTCGCTGGAATGTTACAAGAATGAAATGATTATAGAATGCTATATTGCTGGGTAACTTGCACAATAGAGCGCAATTGGTAGAATTTGCATGTAACATGTTGAGAGAGGTGTAAATGAGTATATTTCTTTCCTTGACTCCCAAGAATCAACCTTATCCTCTGTTGAGAAATATCCTCGCGGGTACTCGCAAAACAATGTAATCGTCAATTTTTTCTGGGACGTGGATTGAAAAACTTGGGGTTTGATGACGGGAGATATACAGCGACGATGTGAATACTTCTCATCAGTAATTAGTGAATAGAGATGTAGACGGTGGTGACATGTACATATGGCAGCAAAAACTCCCTAAGCTCCGCGTCTTTCAGGATTTCTTGGTGTAGAAATTGATGGAACATAAGCGTTGTACGGAATACTCAATGTACCATATTTCCAGTTGAACTTCGAAACTCAATCTAATCGCCTCTTTAGGGATGGCACTTGACCATTTTGCTTTAGTGTTGTGAAAAGATCCAGATAAGAGAGGTGATTTTTATACTCCATATACGAGATCGGGGTCAAAAAATGGGTCACGGTTTGATCTTGAACTAAAAAACGCTCAATAATCAGATCCAGACTGCTTGATATTTAAATTGAGCTTCGGAAAGTCAGAGTCTCAACACCTAGTAGTCGAAAAACTCCAAATTAGATACTACAGAAAGTTTGACCCGGTTCCTGATACCGCGATATGATAGTTTTGGAGAGTCACTCCAGATTGGGCTTTTGCTACGGCACGCCAGACTAATCAGTACTCGTCAGTTGGTAAATGAGAATTGGAACGACGGGGCGGGGTGAAGTTGTAGGATCTCGCTAAGAATGATAGTAAAAGTTTAATTACAAACACGAATTACCACCAAGATCTGTATTGGTTACATAAGATGTTCAACATTCGCTGCTTTTACTCTTGATACATAAAAGATCCTTTTGCTCTTCTTCTGTTGCGCCTCTGTGATCTGCAAATACCTGTGTTATAGTGCCTCACATGCCAGAGACGTCTCAAGAGAGCATATGTTGTTCTTTTCAAGACCATTGAGGGGTAATCATTTCCAAAATTCGAGACTCAATCTCGATGAATGATTAAGAATTAATGGTAGAAATGGCGGTCTGCAACAAAAAATTCTGTCAATATATTTTGTCACTTTACGAGGTACATAGTCTATGATCATTGTCGTTGGTGTTAATAGCTCAGTGGTTTTGATTCACTGCCACGCTCGCGAATACACTTGCTAGGCCGTTTGACTTGGAGTGTGGTGCTATTGTGGTACTATCGTTTAGGAACTATTAGCACCATTGGTATTGGTACAGTGGAGTTATCAAACTTGGTAGATTCGCAGTAGAAAGATAAAAGTTAGAAGAGAGCTAAGAAGAGAGAAGCGTACTAATTCACCGCTCAGTGAACTAGTACACCAACATGGTGTTCTAGATCTACAAAGAAGGCATTTTCAATAGATATAAAACTATCTTATTTCAAACACCTGAGAGGTCACTTCCCCACACTCCAAAGCTTTTCCAGTCTCTTCATTCATAAGACCATGTGCGTAGCATTGGCCAACCACAGTCAAATACTCACCATGTGGCCTCAATATATAAGGCACAGGTGACCCATACAAAATGCACAATTTATCACCCTTCTCTACCTGCTGATGGCCCAGTCCGATATATCCTTTTGAAGTGATAAAGAGCCTCCGGTTTTTGGTCGCTTCTTCAAGATACTTGTCAAACATTCTGCTTTCCCGAAGCATAGACATTCGTTTGAATTCTGTTGGTGTTGGCCTGCCCATGTCTTCATTGAATTCGGGAACATGATCTTCGTGGAACCTTTCAAGGGTATCTGATTCGGATAGAATCTTATTCATTAGCAAGGTGCGGCAATATGCTTCTGTCAAAGTACCCCCGGCTACGTAGGATTCTTGGTGCTTCATCGATCCTCTAGCTTGACGTAAATTTAAGATAGGAGTTTCCCAACCATCTGTGTCTATGGTTCCTTTACTCCAACCCCCTAAAGTTTTATCGCTAATCGGTCCCCAATTACCGGGCCATGAAGAATTCGCGCTGCAGATTCTTGTCTTCCAGGAATCCCACACATCCATAATTGTACCAGAGTTAGCGGATGCAGATGTTGCTAGGTGGTCACATTGAAATCTCCGTACCATAATATCTTCCCACTTACTTAAAATTTCGAAATGCGAGTGCATATCTGCGTCCATGACTTGACCGCATGTGTCGATATCACTTATTAGCACACCTCTCGCGCTCAGAATACGACCATTGTCATGGAATCTCAAATCTGGGGTCAGATCGGTTGCAGCTTTGTAACAATACACATCATTGACGTATATTGTGAGCGGTCTGACCCCAAAAGAATGCTTCGCTATGATATCCAAATCTGTGGCCCAGGACGGTGAGTCGTTGCTAGAGGTATCATTATCTCCATTGAAAACTCCTAAATGATTAAAATCGCCGCTACTAAGTAGATGCTTCGCAGCTTGCGTGTAGACCTGAGATTTCGATAATGTGTAATCTGGTATGATATCGCAGCTGTCTGCAAGTCCAAGCAGCCCGTAGATTCTGTCGCGAGGATCTGTGACTGAGATATGAGGACCAATTATTTCCAAAACGTCACTGAGTAGAAGTGACTTATTTGTAGCAACGTTAACTCTAGAATGGACGAGTCCCTTGATGCCATATGAATATTCATCCAGCCAGTGATCTTCCCCGCTTGACACGGAATAATGAGTTCCACAAGACGAAGCATAACGAATGCCAAAAATCAAATCATCAAATGAGATTGAATGTGAGCCACAATGAACAATGGGATTCTTCGCTAGAGCAACTTCTTGGATAATCCATAACCTGGTCCAGTAAGGATTTTTCAATGGTGCCCAAAACTCGCATTGCAATGCATCTCGCCATTTGTCTTTGTTCTCCGAATCTAGGTGAGGCGATTTTGTTTCACCACGTTCGACGCTTTGAAACCAGCCAGCGAGTAACTTCAAGGCAGCAAAATGGTTCGAAGTGCTAGAAACAGCACTCTCAGTTTCCAAATGAGAATGCTCATCATCCAACATTCCTCTAGCTGGAAGTTGCGGCGGACCAAGCCATATAACCACGTCATTTGCCTCCTTGTAGATGCGACGCATTTGTTGTACCTGCACACCCCGCTCGGGGATATCTTCCTGGTTAATACAGACTGCGTCGACCCATAGAACGCGAGTAACTTCGGTATCCCGAAGGTTTCTCAATGCACTTTCTAGATTTGTGGTCGCCATGAATACATGGCCGTCGACTTTAATCGGAGCACGAATTGATGGATCTCCCCAAGTATAGGAAAGTGCTTGGTATGTAGGATTATCATCAAGTAGACGTGGAGATAAGGTACAGTGAATGGGTTCGTCGAAGGTGCCCGGCTCTATCCCAAGAACTCTGATCTCACCATCTTTCAGCGGATGGTATAGTTCTTTTTTGAATGACATGTTGTTGTGGGCTATCTTGAAGTAAGCGTTTTGTACAGAAATACCATTGCAAGAGACCTTCATATGTGTTTTTGGCACTTTGACTTACTCAATTGAAGAACCTTTAGAAAGTGGACTAGAATAAGTTGCGATGATACTACAATATCAAATATCCGCCTTGAAGATTTGTGACACGAGAAATCAAATAGTTATTAAATGGATCTGCAAGCTCATAAGCTATACCGGTGCAGTCGCACCTTTGAAATTCGTCAATTTCCGAGTGAGAGCCCCTCTTCCTCTACCCCCATCTATGCAAGTCTTACATCTGCCAGACCCGCATTACACGTGCAGTTACGCCACAGAAAGATAGCACTTAGTGGCTCGTCTCCTTATTTTGTCTGAAGATACATGAACAAACTCACGGCAGAACTAAGGCTTCAACGCTTGCGTTTCTGACAAGAATATTAACTAATTTTGAGCTTTAGCACTAATTCTTAATAGAGTATATATATGTGTGTGTGAATATAGCGCAAGTTGTCAGTATTGATTACTGGATAAGTTGTTGGGTGCTCAACGAGATGGAATGGTACGAATGATTAACATCACAGGTAAATTTGATCCACGAAAATACCCATTTTCGATCCCACTCACTGCACCGCTGCGAATACTCCCACGGATTCCACTCTGTAGCACGTTCGTCTGATACCCTCCAAATTTTCTACTCTACCCATTCACGCAAGCACAACCTCCTTCCAACTCGGTCCCTCCCCCTGCCACCCGTCAACGCTCACCCACCCCACCGCAACCCTCATCGCTACCCCCTCCCCTTCATCCCACACAATCCACATAACACACTTCATCCTCCTATCCTTCCTCTTCTCCACCATCTCCATAAAGTCTTTCGAGAATGTACCTCGCGCACTATGCTCATTCATCCACATCAAATTCTGTACTGACGAGCTCCCAAAATCGACTTCAAACAGGGAGATAAGTTCGATTTGTATACTTTCATTCGTGGCATCCGAGGAACCGTGAGACTCGAGAAAAGTATTCAAAGTGGCAGAATCGATTTTCATCTCTCCGATCACTTCATCCTTTCTAAGAGAAGAAATGGTGAAGAATCTCAAGCCCTTGTGTCTCGCTAGCGGCGGTTGTGAGATCTCATTCATATCGATTTTACAAGCAATAGAATATGTTTGGAACAACAGAATACTCGGACCAATAAAGTTACTTGACATAATTTTCCGGGTGCTCGCGTTCAGGTCTCCCTCTACGTCAAGTAGAGCCCTAAATTTCGGCTTCGAAGATTTTGACCCGGGTGTAGGCGAATAGGAATGTGTATACCACGAACTCATACTTTGATGTGACTGTGATGGTGAGGTGTGCACTTTGATTGTGGGGACGACCTGTTTATATCTCTTCTCATGTCTTATTGTTACTTCACCATCTGGGCTGGAGATTGATTTATAAGCTTCACAGACAGCCCACCTCACCTCCCCTTTTACCCCACACTTTTCCGGACTTGCAAGGAATGGATACTCAATCTGTCCCCTCCAACCCGCCCACGACCAAGTCGGAAATTGAAAGTTTTCAAAGCTCAAATCTTGAGATCCTCTACGCGTAAGATTTCCCTCCGGTTGCCAAGCCAAGGCAAACTCAAAACAAATAGCCGGTATTCCACAAACCGAGCCCCCTAGACCTTTTAAAAGAAGACCAGTGTAGAAACCCCGACAAGCATTTAAACAATCGCTTTCTTGTGTAAATTGTCTCGCAGACATTTTCGATACCATTGCCATGTAGTTTTCGAATGGATCCAATTTATTCCGAAAATCGAAGCCCGTTTTGAGACTTTCATCATAAAATATGTTTTCAATCTCATCCGTATCCTCATTTTCGTTGACATCTAGAGTCAACAGAGGAAAGTCCTCGCTCCAAGTCGCTTCCTCACATGAATAGTAAGTTCTTTCCGTTGTGAAATAAAGAATTCGTTTTGAAAATACTAATTCCTGAAATGTCCATCCCCGGGTAAACCATGTTGAAAACTCTATCACTTCACGAAGTTCCATTGAGTCGATTGTGAATCTGATGTTGTTAATCAAGTGCGTTTCCGCGTCTGTGAAAATTGGATCAATATCCAATAGTCCGAAATTCGCACCATCGCCTGTGGCCGCTACGATTGTCATTTCTGCTTGTGCGTAGATAATATGCATTCGATCAATCTCATGCATTTTGCTTCCTAGATCATCTTGCACTATACAGAGGGCGTCGACCCACAAGAACCGTATTCCAAAGCGTCGAGTAATTTCAATTGCATCTAGAATCGTTTGGGGTATTCTTTGGGTTGTAAGATAACCTGGGATGGAGAACTCATTCTCATTTTTCTTCTCGAGAAGAAGAAATGGTGGACGCCCCCATACATAACTCAAAATGAAATACTTTGGAACCCCATGTAACCCCATCTTCACAATCTTCATATCCACGATATCGATTAATCTACTTGGTCCAAAACCTAGACTGAGAGCCGCAGTCATTTGCGTTTCTCGGCATTTCTCATGATTTTGTAAGCAAGAATTAAAACAGTCTGAGAACATACCCAGATCTCTTTCAGTAGTTATTCTACCACTCGGCAAAGGAATCCAGGGGTTTTTCACACCGGTGAATATAGTTTCGTGATCAGCAGCGAGCATTGGAATTTGGGTAGGTTCATCATTGATATCATCCACTGTATTCTCGGGCCACCAAATCAATAAAATTCCATCACTTATAATGGTACTGAGAGAAAGCTGAAGGGATTCCGAGAACGGATCAATGATCCACTCTACCCCATCCCCACTTCCAGTAAGCTCCTCTGCATATGCTAACTCAAGGAGCCCAGTCAGATTCAATCCATGAAGATCTATCCCCTTCGATCTTGCATTCACATAAATTTCTCTTCGTTTCATCCGCAAAAATTGTCTCGTAAGTAAAGCACAAAAAGAACAATTCTGCTGGGCGAATGTTTCATTCAAACTGCCCAGATGCAGATTATCAGAAGCATCTCGGTCGCTCACACCGAAGTCGAATTCTTGAGCTGCATCATCATTATAACATACATCTTTTAGTCGCTCGTCTAATGTTACACAATAATTGCAGAGCGCACGACCACCACCACCAGGGGAGTTTAAAGAGTAACTTCCAAGAGATCGTTTTGAAATGGCGTTTTCGAGATGTCGCAAGGCAAGTTTATAGGTCTCGATACTTGGATTTCGATCGCGGTTGGGAATGAAAAGTGTTAATTCCATCGCACTTGGACCCCCATCTCTGGGCTTTAGACTTGGGGAAGTAAAAGCATGCTATATGATGAAGATACAAGTTCGAGAAACTGGAGCATAGCAAATTAATCACGAGAAGCGAAAACGTCAAATGAAAAATATCTTCGAGGTGATGCTTTGGAACAAGCTTCTCAGCTGACATGATTTGGAAAATTGCATCGCCACAGGGTCTTTAGCCAATAGACAACCGCCAATGATTACCATATCCAATGCTTACATACAGCTTGGCGTTTTATAAACAGGCAGAAGAGTCAATTTTCACAGAATCAAATACTAATTAATGAACAGTAAAAATGGTTGGCTGTTTAAGAAGTGATTGTTACCTTGGACTTCCAAGCATAGCAATGGAAATACAGAATGAAAGAATAATTATGGAACCGAATAGTCCATCAATTTCTATTTGCTATGCAATGTTTTCTATTCATTATCTATCTGTATTCAAATACTATGCATTGTTCCAACTCCGCTATGATAATCGCTCGCCAAATGCAATACATCCCAAATTCTTTGACATGCTTGAGTTTCAAATATATAGGTATCGTAGCTCGTTATGTTTGAGTCTCGCTCACATTGGTTGTTGGAAACAGTTCCCCCATCCTCACCTTCAATGGATTCAAATTGTACACTCATTCCCTTAGGTTTCCTGTCGACCCACGCACCTCGTCTAACATTCCAAAACCTTGATCCTTTCTGCCAACCCCTCAGGTAGCTCCTCTTTCTTCATAATGCCCAATCCAACTACATCTCCCCAGAAGAAAAGGGCTCTGCTTTGCGCATACCCCAGATAGTCGAATTCATCTTCTTCCTCTTCGACCTGTTCTTCTATCTTGATTTCCCTCTCATCTTCCAATTTCATCTTGACATCCTCGGGATTTGCATGTTCAAGAATTCCATCCTGGGGCCCGTCAATTTCATCCGGCGTCACAACAAACGGCGGCGCATCATCCAACTCGGGAACTTTAGCTTGTACAATTCCCCATGCAACCCATTGTGCACTATTTGCCAATCTCCAGATCCGAATTTCTTTTAACATCTCTTCGACTTGCTTTTCTGTTTCCTGCTCTCTTCTTGCTTCTTCTTCTGCATATAGACTTATACTACTAGTCGGAGTATCCTTCTCGCCACCTGGTGTTCGACTATCCAACATGAATTCTTTGATACTACCTGGTGGTGCATCTTTGCCTTCCATTTTTGGAGTTGAGTTAGCGTGAGGATTGAAATGAGGACGATGATTGAGATATGCTCTGACGAATCTCTTCTGCTCTTCGACTGTCGGATAATTCCTAGTATCACAAGTCCAGGTCATGGGAGCAGGCGCATGGTAATTGTAACACCATTCTGTGAAATGATTGGCAAATTCTAAGCCAGGGGTATTTGCACTTGCGTATTCGAAATCGATGACAACGAGCTGTTTGTGGTGATTCATTGGAAGGAGGAGAGGGGAGGGCGCTGATCCATTGACAGGTGGCTCGGGTACTAAGCGTAGAATATTGCCATATTGTGTCTAGAAAACGGGATTAGTTCGGAACCGCAAAGATTAAAGTGAAGAACATACATCGTTATGAGCAAATACCAATCTACGACTCAGCCCTTCTTTTCCTCCATAACTCTCCTCTAACCATTGTCTGTATTTTTCAACAGCAGCTCTGAAAAGAGGCCATTCAACACCACAAACTAATCCTCTATCTCTCCAACTTTCGCCTCTAATGCTTTTACTAGAATCTCCTTCCAGAATCTGCTTGTCAAGATATGTGATAATCTTCTCACATCTATCAACCCATTTATCCCAATTCTTGAACACGAATGGACCATCATCTCTTTCTTCTTGAAGTAATTCAACACCATCGTGCAATTCTCTCATGCGTTTCGCGATTTTCTTGCTAGTTTCAGGGATTCTGAGATCTTGAGCCGTGAGAGTCTGAGCATTGAAGAACTCTTCAAACCGACCATTTCTGAAAGTTCCCAACATTCTTGGTCCAATCTTCTTTCTGGCCAATCTTCTCAAAATACTCAGTTCCGCTTCTCTGTCAATTAAATGCTCAACTTGAGGACCATAAATCCGAAGCAATAACTTTGGAGGAGATTTCTGACTCTTGGTTGAAATGTTCGTACTGCTCGCAGAAGGTGGTAAATCTGCAGGCGGAGTCACAACATAAACCGCGTTTGTCAGAGCACCACTTAATCTTTCCACTTCAATTTCATGACCTCGATCCAATGGAACTCTTCTCCATCCTTTCAATCTGAGTGTATGCGCCAACCTCACAATTTCATTCTTGAACTGGATCCAAGCTTTTCTTTCCTTTTCCGCACGTTTCGCATTGCTTAATGTGGTTGTTTCCATGGAAGATCCAGTGCCGCCACTATATGCAAGCGTTTTTGAGTTATCAAGAATCACATCACAGGATGGAACCACGATATCCCCTTCATGATATTCGGTATCAGATGATGGAGAAGGTTTCAGTGAAGGACGAACGAGGGATCGTTTTCTCGATTGCCGTTTAGGGGAAGTAAGGTGCGGGAGTTGGTTGTGGCCAAAATCTAACATATTATCCTCCAAAATCCGTTGCAATTTTTCTAATGAAAGAGCGCTTGAGGTGGAACTATCAGACATTGTTCTTGGTTTTGAAGTTTTTTCTCTATTAGGCAAATTCTCAGCCTGAGCCTCGTTCTCCTTAGTGTCCTTTTTGTTTGCTTTTCGGGAAGTTCTCTTCGCTTTCTCTGAGTGTAGCCATTCTGCAACTTGAGAAAGAAGTTTATCGCGGTGATGATGATGCTTTGATTCATCATTGGCTTTTGAGGCTTCCGGAGAAGGAACATCTCGACTTGGTTCTTCCAAGCTGTTCTGACTTCGGAGAGATAATTTGGAGGAACTGGCAGAAGGCATGTTTGGTCGACCTGTCATTCTTTTTGCAACACCGGCACTGAAATGTTTTATTCTTGAAGAGTCGTCTGTAGGTGGAAGTTCGAATTCTTGTATGTCTTCTGGTTCTGGCTCCGCAATTGAGACGACTGAGAAGTTCAAAGATAAGAGGTTAGCGAAACGCCAGGGTCAATGAAAGTATTGAATAATTATGAGAAATAATTGCAATTGCAATTGCTAACCTTTGGTTGGTCCACTCTTGGGGCTATGAATGTCATCTGTATCTGCTCTCAATGCTGGCCTGCGAGGCACCGTCGGACTATTGAGATCTGGTGGTGAATTCATTTCGGTGAATGATAATGTTGATACGAATATTGTGTAATCGATCAAATCTCCGATTCGTGTAAGGGAGGATGGTTTGAAGTTCAGCGCTTTGAATCGCCTCGTCGATCAATAAGGTTATCTCCAAGTCCAAAGCTCTTGCTCTCGCTCTCTCATATGTATTGTGGGATAAAGCACTACCCCACCTTCGAGGGGCTGAATGCCACTTTTAGCTGCTCGTATTGTGGATGTGGATCGCAGAAGATTCTTGATTGTTTCTTAACCTTATTGGGCTCCTTTTGCCTCTTTCGGTGTGGGTTGGTTGATGCACAGAAATAGATGGAAAGGAGTGAAGTGCGTGAATTATTGTAGTAGCAGGTCTTGGTGGTAGGAAATGTGCCTATAGGTACGCACTTCGTAGATAGTAATATGAAAGTCAAGTAATAAACAATAGAAATGATCATATCAATCAACTCAAAACAAGTATCCAGGGAATTGGTAGGCAGGTAATTTTCAAGGGTCCAAACCCCGCCACCACATGTGATTTTCAATAAACCAATGAAATGTCAAGCGCATCAAAATAAACTGGATGTGCACGTGCACGTGCGTGCGATCTCTCTTTCATGCGTCATTCTTACATGCATTTGCATCCATCCATCCCTTTCGTATCATAATCAAAAACGTACAACAAACATCTTCAACGGATATCCATCGAGTGTCAAAAGTTTCATTCTTGAGATGGCCTGTCAATAAGAGAGATGGATCACCGCGCAAGACTTGAATCTATATCAGCTCCCATCTAACCCAGATACATATCATTCATTGTGGTCAGTAATGTTGCTCACAAGCATGGAGGCTCATTGTGCCAGAGATGGTTCAACTGTCACCCAAATACGATCATAGCAGTCTTCTTTCATCACGTTGTCTTCCCGCTGAGACCCTTTTCTACCGGTATCGTGACGAGGAATTCAACGTCAAGTCCACCATACCAGAGCAAGTGCGAGGAATATGAGACGAGCGCGACTGGTCGCATTGAAGATGGCGCCCAAACTGCAAGTCGTTACGGTTCTGATGCAAGTTCATTTGGATATGTAGCAACTTCCGCTCAAATGAAATGCTATACCCAAAACAACCGATGATTTTGATGGCGTCGAGATTGTCGGAAGGTATGGAAGCGTCTTTCTACTCGCCTTGTCCAGTTTTAGTCGGTTTGGGGAAAGGCGTACAAATACTTTCAATTGAGATGGGCATCTATAGTTATAGCTTCAATCGTTGTTTGTGGGGTCGCCGTTTTGATCTGCGGTGTGTTCTCCATTCCGTACACCATATAGCATTCAGTTTCTTAACGACCAAATTCAACAAATGAGCGCTAAATATTTGGTCTAGGTGATGCTCGAGACGATACCACATTTATTGTTGGCTGTGCGCTAGTTGGTCTCGCAGGTGGCGGTATTTATTTCGGCTCATTCACCGTAATTGCATCTATAGCAGTTTCTGACAAAAGAGATGCATGCACCGGACTTGCTGGTGCTGTGTGGGGTGTTGCTAGTGTGATTTGCCTTTTGGTAGAAGGATAATATATGTCGCATGTATTGTAGCGATGGTCTATGTTAGATATTTCTAAATCTTAAAAGGCCCAGGGATAACTGATTTTGTCTAGGCTTTAATATAAATCTTTCTTATGGTGAAGCCTCGGTGGTAATAATTGCCCTTTTCCTTATTGCATTTGATGAAGCAAAACCAGTGAAAGCAATATTTTGCGGACAGATTCTCAATAAAACTACAATCGGAATCATCGCGATCATGTGTTTTTTTATATGCTACCTACTTGCTTTTCCGAAGGCTGGAACTATATACCTCTGAAAGTCACCCGTGGTAACCGGACTTCTCGTCGGCTCGATTCTTCTCTCCATAATCTTTATGATTGTACGGATTTGGCTTGAGGAACGTACGATGTTAGTTAATCATTTGTTCAAAGAAAGATCAGTTTATGGCGGCATGGCTTTCAAGTGCTTAGTGGTGCTTCGAGTCTTATCGTTGCCGCTCTCCTTTATATCCAAGATTAGATGCCGACAGCTCAAAGTAGGTCGAATACCAACCTTTTGCGGGCGTAGGCTATGGCTTTGGTACTCAAGTGACCACAATTGCAGTTCAGGCTTTGATGGTTCCAAAGGACATATCATCTGCAATAGCAATGATTCTTTTCGCACGAGCCCTAGGAAGACCTTGCCGTTGAATCTGCATTTGCTGAAACTCTGATCAAAAGCGTCGCAGTCTATGGTTCAACTGTGTCACAAATGAAGGTTGTCTCAACTGGTGCTATGAAATTGAGGAAGGTATTCACTACTCAACAGTTAAAAGACATTTTCGGATCTTACATGGTCGGTTCGAAGAAGGCTCACATCTTTGGAATTGCAATAGTAGGTATGATGTTCCTTGTGGCTTTCTCTGATAAATGCCACAACTTGAAGAGATTAACGCTGCCAAGGCTGCAAAAGAGAAAGAAGAAAGTGAAAATCAGTATGAGGAATTTGGGGAGAGAAACGATGTTTAAAAGTGACTGGTATCATTGATAGGATTGCGCTACTTTGAAATGCACACCAACAACATTTTTGTTCAAGTTCAGAACGAAGCCCTGTACTTTGAACATCGGGTAAGGCAGGACTTCGTTGAAGCTTCGGCATTTCGTTATCCCGAAGTTGATCCATATTTGTCCACTTTGACAACGGAGATCAGTATCTTTGGCTTCAACGAACTAAACAATTTTCAACTGCCGCGTGTTTTATTTGCTCGCTTTTTCGTGATACTTGATTGAAAAGTCCTCGCATGCTGGGCTTCATTTTCCAAGCATCTGCCGAGAATCAGAGACTGATGGGCTGAAGTTCTTATCATTTCCTTGAGACTCTCAAACAAAATTGAGAAAGTCACGTTGTGGTCATCTAAAAGGCATTCCTCGGAACAAAATCCTCATTGAGCAAAGTTGCCAAGATCATACGGAAAAATAATTCTACATGCATGGTACGAATGTACCACCACATGCTCGTATAATCCACTTCTTATGGGGATAAGCAAGAATAAATTAAATATTGAAGAATTTCTTGATTCTGAGATCCTTCTGTGTTGACGCGGGGAACCTTGCACTTGCATTTGGCCTCGGTTGAGGACCGTTCTGGTGAACATCGCTTGGCGATTTCTGCATTACACGACCTGAATGAGATCAAAGACCATCAAATTTATTTTGGGCCTCAGACATGTGAAATATACAATGTAGGGCTCGTGTAGGTTCGTACTAACGCTCTGTTCGCACTTTGATGGATGCGCTCTGAGTTTTTAGAACGGTATATCAATTTAGCCTCACCCCGCATCCCCACACTTTCATACCTTTCAGTCACACTTGTTTCCGTAATGGGAATACACCCGGTCGTACACGCACATAGGTACCAGGGGTTCAATTTCATAACAGGAAATGATCTCTCACACGACCTCAGGACCCGACTAATCCAAGACCACTATTAAACTTTCCCATCCACTCTAGAGTTCAACTTTAGAATATTGACCAATCTATTTCGAATTTGGCCAGCTTATTCTTTTGGCGCCGGCAAATGGAAAACTTTGCGTTCCATCAAGTAAGGCACCATTCTTATGGCCAGTCGGCGGTGGATACGAGGTGTCGAGCTATGAGAGATTAAGTGATAAGAAAAGGGTCAGGCGGATTAATCCTATAGTCACTGGCCGAGGAAGCACATGTCGAAGAGATCAAAATTTGCTAAATTTCCTTCTGAAAATGAAAGGTAATGAAACGCTGATATTTGTTATAATTCGAGGAAAGATCGAAGTGGTGGCCTTTCATTCTCGGTAGTCTCCACTCATTATCCTACTTTCTTTGTGGTTTCCGGAAGAGCCACATTCCAATTCATCAATCATCATGAAGCTCTCGCTGGTATCAATTTTTGCTCTTCTGTCAATCACATTTGCTCTTCCAGTTGAAAATGTCGAGCGAGATGTACCAATTGAAGAAAGAGCTGCAGCTCCAACAGTGACAATCGCATCACCAGCAGCTACAATCATTGGAGGTGCTGGCGTAACTGTCGAAACCTTTGCTGGTGTTCCATTTGCCAAACCTCCCGTTGGTGCACTTCGACTTAAACCACCTCAACCCATCACCTCTGCATTGGGCACAATTAAAGCAACAGCCCAAGCAGCTTCTTGTCCTCAATTCTTCTTTAGCACTACTGTTAATGATGCAATTCCTACATCAGCACTGGGTCTTCTCCTTAATACACCAGTTTTTCAACAAGTTCTCAATGCTGGAGAAGATTGTTTGTATCTGAATATTCAAAGACCAGTTGGTACAACTGCTTCATCTAAATTGCCAGTCTTGTTTTGGATTTTCGGAGGAGGATTTGAATTGGGAGGAACAGGGATGTATGACGGATCTTCATGGGTAGCGGAAAGTATTGCCGAGGGCAAACCGATTATTTTTGTCCAAGTGGCTTATAGGGTTGGTGGATTTGGATTTTTGCCTGGAGCGGAGATTTTGGCGGATGGTAGTGCGAATCTGGGATTGTTGGATCAGAGATTGGGATTGCAATGGTATGTTGTTCTGTTTAAGAGTCTTACAGTCATACTAACGAAGTCTCCAAAGGGTCGCTGATAATATTGCTTCTTTCGGTGGTGATCCATCCAAGGTGACTATCTGGGGAGAGTCAGCTGGTGCAATCTCAGTCTTTGACCAAATGGCTTTATATGGAGGAGACAACACATACAAAGGCAAATCATTATTCCGTGGAGCCATTATGAATTCAGGAAGTATAGTCCCAGCAGATCCAGTTGATTGTCCAAAGGGACAAATCATTTACGATAATGTCGTAGCCTCAGCAGGATGTTCAGCCGCAGCCGATACTCTAACCTGCTTACGAGGCGTACCCTATTCCACTCTTCTCAACGCGACAAACTCTGTTCCTGGTCTGCTTAGTTATTCGTCTATCGCACTATCATATCTTCCTCGACCAGATGGTACCGCTCTCACCAAATCCCCTGATCTTCTCCTTGCATCAGGAAACTGGGCAAAGGTCCCCTTTATAATTGGCGACCAAGAGGATGAAGGAACAATATTTGCTCTTTTCCAGAGTAACATTTCCACAACCGCTCAACTCACCACCTATTTCTCCGATTTCTTTTTCCACAACGCACCTACCTCCGTTCTCACCGGGCTTCTCAACACATACCCCAATGACTTGATCTCCGGCTCCCCTTTCCGGACCCTCTTGTTAAACAATTGGTATCCCCAATTCAAACGTTTAGCCGCCATCCTTGGCGACCTCACGTTTACCCTCACCCGTCGTGTATTCCTCCAAACCGCACTAAAAGTCGCACCAACCGTTCCCTCCTGGTCCTATCTCTCATCCTATGACTACGGAACCCCTGTTCTCGGCACCTTCCATGGCTCAGATATCCTACAGGTCTTCAACGGTGTCAACCCAAATTACGCGGCTAGTGCTAGTAAAGCATATTATTTGAGCTTTGTAAATACTTTGAATCCAAATAATGGGACGAGCAGTGCATATGCGAATTGGCCGCAATATAGCAATGGATCACAGTTGTTGAATTTGTATGCGGACTTTGGAGGGTTTATAAGTGATAATTTCAGGAGTGCGAGCTTCAACTATATAGTGGCTAATTTGGCAAGCTTTTATATTTGAGCCGGTGATGAATGGATTGATGGGGAGGAATTGGTAAAGGGTTTTGGGTGGAGTTAGAAATTGAGAGGAAGATATGAGGGAGATATGAGTGGCGAGCAAGAAAAGCATAGTTTGGTTTTATTCAATAATATTAAACTATCTAACTCCATATAATGTTAAAACGTTTTTCAAAAGTCGCCGAATCTTATAGCAAGTAAAGTGAATTATTCGTCGCAAGACCACTTACCGAATCTGTAATGAGAAATGCCCTTAGGAAATATGAGTGAAGCTTACGAAGAACAGGGGGCTAGTGAATGTGTTTACCAGCTAGAGAGTTATTATCCTTGATTCTATCAATCATCGTGCGCAGTCAATTATACTTTATATCGTACGGAATGAGAAGATCTAGGTCTTATATATAATGACGCATTAAGAATTAAGAATGCAAACAAAGATTCCTACATGTGAGATCACATAAATAGTCCGTTAAGAATCAGAGCTAAGAACATGACGTGACTCGCTTGTGAGAACCAGAGAAAGTTTGCCCTTGTATTACGTCTTGGATTTTGTGATATGAGGAATATGAACGATTAGGGTGACTTTAAGTTTGACAACATGGGATGGTTACGTTTGGTTATTGAGTGCAAAGCAGAGATATAGTACTCTCTTCCGGAAGGTGATCTGTCTAAAGAGGCGGAATAAAGCCACCTGCATTGCACGTGATAGATAGCCGTATAACATCTACTCATTACTCATATATTGTTCAACTTTGTCTTGCAACACTCTCGAAAATTTCTTTCTGAGAACAAAAAAGTTCGAACTTTGTCAGATTCCATCATGACTGTCGCAACACTCCTTACTCATCCGCTCCTCCTCTTCTTTGCCAACATTATCCTCACCAACCTGACCGCGGTTCATACCACAACTCGCAACGCGCGACTTCTCGCTTTCGCCCTGAGCGTATTTCTCTCTTACATCGCACTATCAAACTGGAATGAACACGTCAATACAACAGGCTGGGCAGGTCGCTTCCTCGCCAGTGGTTCTTTTACTATGCCCAATGTTATATTCGATCGATTCATTATTCGGAACTGGCAATATGGAAAAGACGACTTGAGATGCAAGAGCATCGGAAGAGAGAATGAAAAGGAAGAAAAGAAACAAACAAAATCGGAATGGGGACAGGAGGTAGTCGGAAATACTAGATATATCGGTACTTCGCTGGAGGTTTCCAACGTTCCATTCTTCAGTGCAAAGGATCCTATTCGTGGCCCGACGAGATGGAGATTTTGTTTGCATCACGCTGCTATAGTTGTCGCCTTGTATTTTTTAAATACGCTTGCTATTGATGGTCAACTAAATGTGAATCAGAAATGGATCGGTGATGAATATATTCCATGGTTTGGAATGATGTTTGGTGACGGTATCCTTAATTTACGAGACCAAATTATCACGAGAATCACCATCAGTCTTCTTTACTGGGTGTGCCAATTTTGTTATCTTCAGTTTTTCTTCTCGGTCGCTGCGTTATTGGATGTTGGACTTGGTGGTGGGGAAGTGAGGCGGTGGAGACCTTTCTTTGGAGAAGTGAAACATGCTTATACGATTAGAGGACTCTGGAGGTAAGTTCTGTTTGGTTTTTCTCTTTCTTTTCATGAAGCTACAAGACTGGGAAAACAATCTGATGTTCATGCAGCAAATCCTGGCACCAAAATATCCAACTCACCATCAAAGGCCCCGCCGAATTTATCACCCATAGTATCCTCCATATTCCTCGATCCACGCTCATAGCTCGCTACCTCAAGGTATTCCTTACATTTGCGGTCTCAGGCGCGACTCATGTGGCCGCAGATTATGGAAGTGGGATCTACCCAGCACAATCCGGTGCCATGTCATTTTTCTGTGCACAAGCTCTTGGTATCATGGTTGAAGATGGGGTTCAAGAAATTTGGAGAATTATGGGTGGAAAGAAGAACACTTTGTTGGGGAAGATAATTGGGTTTGCTTGGGTATTGGCGTTCATATGTTGGTCTAGTCCGGTCTGGGCTTATCCGTTTGCAAGAACGATGCGGAGGGAGGATATGTTGCTGACTTTCGGAGCCTTGAAGCCGTTGTTGGTAGGGCTTAAGTTTTGGTGATGAGTTGAAGTGTTAGGTGATGGACACACCTGAGTTAGGATTGGAGATGGCAGCTGTAGTGGCCAGTGAAGTGTGATTGTTCTTGGCAATGACTCTATGATTGCCTCAGCACCAACCCACGAACTATAGAGAAATTTTTAAAACTCCACTCTAAGAATAACAAAAACGTACAGGATACTGTCAACTTACGTATCGCAGTTCTGGGCTCATGACAATCTACGAATAGATGGAATGATTATCAAGGATAAAATTAGATGTAGTATAAAAACATGACATACCAAAACAATATTCCCGAACTTTGAATGCCTCTTTCACTGTCATTGGCATATTCATTGTCTATATTCCATGTCTACTCATTGATCTCGTCTACCGATTCTATCAATAATGACCACTGAAATTTTCCCTTAGGATATCTCAGGAAATTTTGAAACGAAACAGTGTTCTTGAATAAGGTGCAGTTGCTTCAAACATAGAATTTCCCTCTCTCTCCTTGTCCTTTACTGTACCTTAGTTTCAGAGTATGATTGGATCCACGATTCCCAACTTTACACTCATTGCGGTTAATTACTCGGATTCGCTAAATATAGGATTGGTCAATCGTTTGTATTTAAGACTTCTTATAATTGATTACACGTTCAACTTAGACCTCGAAAAAGAACGTTTTGATGTTCCATATCCCAAGGATAAGAATGACCACGGAATGAATTAATGCTTGTAAGAACTCAACGCAAATCTCATAGGGGAGAAAGCAAGGTGGTGATGTCTTTTAGGATTCGATAAACCGGTGTCATCTGGAGAGTTGCCTATAATCAGGGTGGAAATTTGGAGACATCGTCACACGGCGCTCATTAATGTGTTTTTTGCTGTTGAAACTTGTCTTTTTATCTTTTCTAATTTCACTGCCCTGTGACTGCTACTGACAAGCCGCCCATCATTACATGACGTGCCATAAATCAAAGGGATTGTTGGCAAAATCACCGGAAAGCTTGTTACCCTGATTATATAATTTTGAATGTAAGGTATAAGATTTCTAAGGAAAGATCACTTACGAATCAATAAACATTTTACATCTGCACCTCTGAATTCCGATTTGATCGAACAACGTGGAAATCAACCCGTACAATGGATCTGTACGAATACAAAGTCTATTCTACCTCAAAAGTCTTACAAGCATCCTACAAGCATTTAAAAGATGCATTTAAAAGATACAATTAAAAGTTATAAGAATAATCATCTGGATCTAAGATGTCACTGAAGGAAAAGCTCTAATTCGTTTCATCAACAAGTCAACTGCTTTTCCTAAATGCTTAGCTGAAAGTGGAATCTCGAATTATTACTGTCAAATAGTTTTCTTCCCTTTCCTTGAGGTTCATCCCTCTCGTTGTCAGAGCAAATACGGATGATTTTGTTCTATTCATGCTTGTTCTCGAATCCATCATTCATCGACCGAGTGAGCCATCTCTCCAGACAGAATCAACTTACTAATTTCCGTAAACCTCACAGAAGCGCATCACACCCCTTTTTTTCTTTTCACTTGTTAATTGAAGAACTTTGACTTCAAACTCTCCACTGAAGCAGAGAGTTATATACACTAATCTTGGGTATATAGCTTGCTAGGGCTGGAAAAACAAGAGAAAGGTCAAACTGAGAGAAACGAGTCATCTCAGAAGCATGTATCTCTCTGTTTTTCTCAACATTGATTTGGTGAATGATAGAACACGAATCTAGTTTTATAATTCGATTGAAAATCTAAGTTGGATTTGAACTAGATAACAAATAGTAGAAAGATTTGCTGAAATCGATATGAATTGTTAAGATTATCTCCGTAGGAAGATGTTGAAACTCTAAAAGATCTGGAATAGTTTTCTTCTTAAGCTGTGCAGGACTATCTCTCATTGGATCTGAGCATATGAAAACAGATAAATTTCTTCATTGTCGTCTTCTTTTTCACTTATCGTTGTCTATCGAGCCTCGTAATTATCTCACTCTTCTAGCGATACACTTACTACTGTCACTCGGGTATGTTCTTTTCATCTCAAACCTGACTTCTAGAGGCTCTATTTTTCCCAGAGAACTCGAAACAATCCTCAAACATCTTGACAATAGTTTTCAGTATCAAATTCTGGCTGGTGACACTGTATCCCTCACTGGCAGCTTTTCCTTTCTTGGCTTACTACACACCTGATCGGGGAATACATTTCCATGATGCACACAACTTTCTCTTTATATCTACCGAGAAGAAGAGAGAAATGGGAGAGTGGCCGGAGATTTGTGAATATAGTAAGAAAGATTAATTCGGCGTGGTATGTCCTACGTAACCAGTGAGATTCAATCCACATTTTAGACCAGAGGTTACGACGTTTCAACATCAAATGCCTACAAAAGGTTTCCCATCTCCTGGCATGAATCTGTATACCTTTGGAACATATCTACCGTATGTTGTCATGTCTTCAATACTTGCTGGTCGTAGGCTTGCGTAATTCCATTCTGAAGAAGTACAAACTTTGATAACTTGACTTATCTGAATCGGCTCGGTCGAGAACAATTATCAAATTCGGCGTCATCATGTGAAATTCTTGCTGTCACTCTTCGTGAGGTTTTTCGCCAGTCCCGTTGATATCTTGTCTGTCATCATCATTATCACTTGACGATCCCATTCGAATTTTAACCTAAACTCTACAATCCGATAATCCCATTACCATCTCATGAATTCGAATTTTTGGACATAGACTTACATACACTATCGTTCGTTCAACTATTCCCATTTTGCTGGTAAATTAATTCGTTAATCGAAATAAAGGATATGATGATTCTTCAGCTTGAACTTTATACTACCGTCTCGACTCTCGAGATTCGGAAATGCATGATCTAGGATTTGGTTATATGTTATCCATTTTTCTCAATCTCTCCTTGACAGTTGAAGCAGTCCAAAGGTGAGGTTCAAGTCACTTGATGCGGGTGACGAACCACTCGGCCTGATATAAAAGCTACTTGTTTGAATGAATTTAAGAATAACCGTGACACGAGAGTCTACCATCCAAGTCGGTGGGATTAAAATAGGAAGTACACCTCAAGACCTTGGAATACTCTAATGTTGTGTGACACGTCAAAATATGGGGTGGATTAGAATAGATGCTCACCACTTGATCATATTGAACAGCAACGGTAATAATAGCGACAAGATATTGATTGCAATTAGTTACCATGAGATGTTAAACAGTTCCATGAGTGAATTGTGTCGATGGTATGATTTGTGGTAACACCAGATAAGCTTGAGAACCCAACTTTGAAATGGAGTCAAGAACATATCGGTTTGTTGCTCTTGCTCTTTGACTTTGTCTGATTCCAAGTTTCTCATTCTCTTCGTAGACTAAGATTTGCATCCCTCTATTTTTTCTCTACCTAGGCGCATAGCTATCCCCAAGTCATTTTGTTCGTATGTAATTCGTTAAATTTACACATCGGGAAATGTAACGTATGACCCAACTACCCCCCTCTCAACCTCAATTCCTGTTCATTAACCATGTTACCCTACCGATAAACACTCATTCTCTTACTCTTATGTACATAACCAGAGGGAAGGTGCAAATCAAAGGGGGCAACTTCCGTAGAATGAATAGATCAGTGAGGTATAAAAAGATCTTTTCTTTTACCATCCAAGACAATACAACTAACTCACTAACTTATCATCCACCAAGTCAATGAATCTGTCTTCTACTCCACACCGAAAAACATCAAGAACTCCATGAATCCACCTGTGATCTTTCAGTCAATGCGTAAAGCCCCCTTTATATCTTTCATATTTACCATTAACATAAAATATCCCACGAACTTTTCGAATATTTGGCAATAAAAAATGTTTGCGACTTAGCGAGCGATGATTAAGGGGCGGATGAAAGATTTCGGCAATAATGCAACCGTCCAGATATCCTACCGATAACTTTGACTAACTGTGATCGCGTTGCTCAGTAAGACTCGATCTTATATCTGCTTTAGTTTCTCCTCCTAGATCACAACCAGAATTGTAATATACTTACTTGTATGTGAACAAATTTAGATGCATCATGCCGGTCAGTCTTGCTTCGACGTAAATGGACTAGAGATGAAAATTGTGTTCGTAGAAATACAAATAGATTTTATACTATGACTTCGCAATGACTTCCTGATGGAACAAAATACACACAGAGAGAAAGTTTTACCATTTTCATTGTAGATTCTAAATTCCGAGATCTACCAATTGCCTTCTAATATGTATACCCATTGGAAGATCACTCTTCGTTTCTGTATAAATATTCCCCCTCGAACCAGCTAAACGAGGTCAACAAAGACATATGCTAACTGAATAATACCCAATATTGATATTTAACTACGAGTCAACGATCGATAACCTACTGTAAATGTGTAATAATGATATCAACATCGCATCTTTGGTCCGGCGAGATTTGATATCGAAGAGTGAAAATATATTCACGTCGCGGAGATGAATAAATAACAGCATCTTAATTATTCTAAATAGCAACAGGCAAACAGTTAAATGACAACAAGTAAAACTAGCACAGCGATACGATCCAATATATCTCGTACCTCTATCAAATCTCTCTTCCATCCACCTTCTTCCCATTCCCACTCCCAGTCCCACACAGAAACACTCTCCCGGTTCTAATTCTACAGAAAATTAGCAAACACAATCAAGAATCCACAAAGCCCTTGAATCTCGGAAGGTGTTCACATGAAGAAAACCACCGAAAGGCAGATCGCTGTATCAATAACGAAATATTTACACCCCCTTACTTCACTCTGCCCCTCAAGAACCACTCACTTCTTCAATTCATTCACTACCCCCGTAACAATCGCTTTCTATCCACTCCAATATGTAAACCCCATCACACCACCAAGATTCTTCTCTTCCACATCAGATACACCCACAGTCTGGCACGTCAGAGACAGGCCTCAAAACTAAAACTCGAGGTACTACCTACCTACCACCTCTTCTTCAAACTCCCATTCCCGATTCCAAATCTCTATCCTATCACACGAGAGATCAGATCAGATATCTCAAGATTCAATACACAAGCAAATCATGAGATAATTTCCTATCGTTTACAAAAGAATTTCTCTACGATGATAATACGATAACCATGACAATCACAATACTAGTTCTTTTTAGGATAATGATAATAAAAGAAAATATATATGTACATACATCAAATCACAAATCAACATCAATACCCCTCTCTCCGTTTATTCATACCCCTCCCTCCATCCATCCCCCTCCCCACTTACACTCACACTCACACTCACACTCACGCTTACACTTACACATACTCACACTCACACTCACAACCCCAACCCTAACGCTAACGTCCAACTCCAAGCCCAAAACTCAAAACTCAAAACGTATTCCTGAATACAATACCAATCACGATAAAGCACATGAATAAACAACCAACCAGAAAGGAAATATATGTTCCCCCCTCTTTTCTCCTCCTCTTCCATCCTCCATCCTTCATCCTTCATCCTCTATGTCCCTTCCAGATCCCCCCCGAATTTCTTTCCCCTACTCAAAGATAAACTTATACTCAAAGATAAACTCAAAACCTACCAATCGTCTCATACCACTTTCACCAGTCTCTACTGATCAACCGAGATGGAGATACAGTTGAAATTCTATACCCACCCTCTTTATTTACATGGCAAGAGAATGCATACGTATACATCTCACCCTCATTTTAGGACTTCACGTTGGAATAATCAATGTAATGTATCATCCGATATGCATGTATGGATGGATGTCAAAATGCGTGAATAAATATATGTATGAATGGATGTCAAAATGCATGAATGAATATATGTATGAATGCAAGGTATCTATTATGAACTTCTTCTCAAACGCATATTATGGTATCATCATCAATCTCCTCCTCGCCTCCTCCCCTTCATCTCCCTAGCTACTCCACTCCAAAGTCCACAAATCATATGTGCGCATTAAAAAGTACATCATTGCCATACCCTGCATTGATCAAATTAGAATAATTGATATCCCAAAAACGCCGAGCCACGCTGATGCAACCTTTCATCCACCTAATCAATATACAGTTCCATATGGTTTTCCCGGCGCAAGCCTTTTCCGTGTATGCCTATCGTGTACAGTTTATTTGTTTTTCGTTTCGTATTTTCACCCACTTGACTCGTGAATGGATTCCACTTCCATCTCCTCATCATTCAATCTTCAATCGAATGCCCTTTTTCCGGACACACAACTCAGAGCACTCCTCTCATCAGCACTTAACCTAGGCAGCCCACTCCACAACCTCCAACGCACACATAACCAGAATCAATGTACTTGGCAAAATCCAAATAACATAACTTTGGAAAAGCAATTTACTCATGACCCCCTCATAAACCCCATTGATTTGACAAATCTGCGCCAATTGCAAAGCACTAGGTGCACCTGTCAACAAGAAGCAGACGATAACGAAAATTGGATCATCCAATATGCTAACTGGAACATATTTTGCCGTTAGAGCTAAAAGTGGTGCCATGATCAAAGTTGGAAGTAACATTCTGGAGATCAAGGAAGCGATGAGAAGTTTTGTGCCAATTTGATTCTCTTCTGAATTTTCGTCGAGAACGTGTTGAGGTAGTGTATTTCTAGCAAGGTTCGCACCGAGGACGACCAAGATGAGGGGGACAGCTACACCTCCTGACTGAGAGACGGCTCGTGTAACGGAGTTGGCGATGAAAGATCCCTCGGCGAAGAAAAGGTGTTGAAGTTTTGGAATGGATGCGACAATAACAGCGAGAAGCATAGCCCAGAGAGGTGGATTCATGAATTCCCAAAGACCATTCAAAAATCTGATGGTAGAATTTGAAACCTTCGTGACGAGTCCTTGAGCAGGAGGTGGTAAAGCATGATAGGTATTGTGAGATGCTTTAGCGACGGTTCGTTTAGTATGGAATTTTGCCTTGGGGATCCAGCCTCGAATTCCATCTGGAATTTCAGATTCCTCTTCAGATGGTGGTGTTCGAATACTTGGGAATGAAGTAATATCATCATTGTGACCTGGCAAGTGATTTCCATTCGTAGGTGTGGCCATGATACCAGGTAATTTTGCAGGTTCTTCTTCGTCGGAATTGTCATGTAAAGCGTGGGTGACTGGTGTTCTACCACCGAAATTGGAAGAGTTTGAGGATGATTCACCATTATCATCATTGTCTTCTTCGCCATCCAATCCAGGGATTAGAACAGGCTCATCTCTGTATCGTCCTTCTTCTTCATCCTTATAGGTTTCGGGCGGTGCAAGTAAAACATGATAACCCCAACTCCAACGAACTAGTTGACCCAATTGTTGAAAGATGAGAAGGTACAGGATACCTCTTGCGCCAACCTCATCGTCGTTATCCCCAGGTATCTTATCCCAATGTAAACCTTTTAATGTTTGCGACAATGAAATGACGAGGGAAATGGGTAAAGAGTTTGAATTTCCGAATACCTGTTGAGACTATTAGTATTTTTAAAATCGAAAGCCGGAGTAACAATAACATACACCCATAGCAGTAACAAAGTTCGCAGGTCTTTTTCCAAATCCAAATGCTTTACCAACCCCGACGGAGACCAGATATGATACCAATGTTTGCACGATGAAGATGACTGGGATGACTGCAAGTTCGACCAATTTATCTGCCGTCAATTGAGATGCCAATTTGGTGAAGACTATTCAATTTGTCAGCCTTTATCCATATTTCTCTGCGTCCCAAGGGACCTACTCAAGCAAGGTGTGAAGAGAGCAACATTTAAATTTGCAACAAACTTCTGTTTGTCTGCATCAAACATTCCTTGTCTTGCCACGATATAACCCGGTAAGCTAACACACACGACTTCCATGACAGCTTCGAAGACTAATAAGATCAGATGGCCAAGGGCGGGATGTGAAGAATGGTCATTTGCCATAGTGCCGAACGCGACATCTGTTAGGGATCGTGTTGAGATAGAAGATGCGCCGACATCGTTACGGGTAGCTAGATTGGCCAGTCGAAAGGAAGTAGGTGATGTAAATAATCCCATGATGATTTTAATGGGATCGAATGATCAAACCAAAGTCTGCGATAGAGATTGGTTGCAGTATGTGAGGTTGTTGATATTCGAGGTACTTTCGTCCTCTTCGACAGTTGAGGTTTCAAACAATCTTTGAAGATGTTCGATAATGTTTTCGTATGTTTGAATTAAGTTTGTGAGATTCTTCGGATTGATTAGAAGACCATCAAATATATTGATGAAGTGAAGTGCAATCAGCTTCTCTCTTTTACTCCTTTTTTCTTCTTCTTTCTTTTCTCCCTCAAGCTATTGAGCGATAAATATCGAGCGACGGCGGCTGTGTAACGACTGGGCAAAACTGACGTGGTTTTAGCTTTCTTGGGACGGACCTGGATTGTGCAAATGCGATAAGGCCAAGGATGGTATGGTGCTAAGAAGTAGCTAGACTGCGTCCTGTACCGTACCTTGGTAAATGATTACTTGCGGAAGATGTGGATGTTGATCCGTTCTCAGCCATTCAATTTTTTACCAAGTCTGAGCAAGTCGCCGCGTGGACCAATATCATTGACGAATGAAAAGTTGATGATGGCAAGGAATAGGAATAAGTAAAGTGCGTATGCTTGTGCTTGTGCTTGTGCTTATGCTTATGATTATGACGGGGACTGGGTTGTATGTGATGATCTGACGGTTTGAAATTGGGAGTGGAAGAGAACTTCTTGAGTTACGTTGAGTCGCAGGTATGGTATGAGATAGTATGGTATGACAACAACAAATAAGGCAGTAAACACTTGGATGTAAGAGTCAGTGTGAGTGCAAGAGCACGAGGGTCAAACAAAGAAGTTGATTGGAATTGTCCAGAAGTTGACTGAGGCGTAAGATATTCTTGGAATTAAATCAAGTTGTGATTGGTTGAGAGGTGATGTTGTGATATGATAAAAGAGATCAAAAGGAGCCGATTGATGAGTTATTCGGTATCAATATAGTCAATTGAGTTGATGTGAATTGAATTGAAGTGAAGTGAAGTGAAGTGAAGTGAATTGGATTGAATTGGATTGAAGATCATGGTATATTCAAATACTCCAAGTCCTCTTCATTCACGATACACAATAATAAGAAGGCTTCATGCAGATGCAGTACATTGATCACAACAATACTCCAACCTCGACTTCTCGGTATTCGGGCCAAGACGATAATACTACCTCGATGTTGTATCCAGAGGGGTTTTGATTATCGTACCTCAGTATCTATTATATAAAGAAAATCCGTTCAAGCTTTTCTGGTGCTTCTTATTGACATATACTTTGGTACATTGGCCATGGAGATGTTGCTGTCTCGAAATGCATGTCACAAATAGTACGTAGGTATGTGATGTATAACAAAAGAAGAGAAATACTTCATGTCATGCCTCTGAGTGTGTAACTTGGTGATGCTTGGTGATGCTTGGTGATGCATGAGATGGTGAAATTGTTGGCTTGAGTGATATCAGATTCATGAAATAGGAGAGGATAGGAGAGGATAGGAGAGGAGAGGAGAGGAGAGGGCATCCTTTCTCTCATTCGAGATACCATTCAAATCAAGTCAATTCAGCTCAATTCAGCTCAGCCCAGCTTATAGTCTCTTCACCTCTCTCGCCTTTCTCCGTATATTCAGATACTTTCTCTATCATATCCACTGTTCATTGTCCATGTTCATTGTTCATTGTCCATGTTCATTGTCCATGTCCATATCCATTTCCACATCGCCATCAAAATCCCTCCAACTTGTGTAGTATGGTAGCTGATTGATAACAAGCGATACCCAGCCACTACTCATACCCAGCCACGACTCCAATCAAGCCACCGTGCCGCCGTGCCACAACAATGACGATAGAATTTTTCCCAAAGTTTCACACTTCACTCACTCACGTCCAAAACTCCACAATTTCTTGGCTTTCCTTGTTTATAAATTAATTACTGACGTGAACTTGCATGAAGAACGGAAAGGAAGTGTCAAAGCATTCAAGTCAATCATATCCAGTGTTACCCACTCGAGCCACTCTATAAGTTGGCACGATTCCAATCATGAAGAAGACATCCCAAATAGTACAAAGATGCTTCAAGGGAAAGATGTTGGTAAAAGCCGCCCGCCCATGCCTCCCTAGTTTCCAGGATATACAACGACGGGAAGAGAAGGACCACAAGCCGCGCGAAAGTATTAATAAGGCTGGTGGCCTACTGTGTATGAAACCAAGGATGAATGACTGTCACCACAAAGACCTATCACATCATATGCCAGAATTTGAGTTCGAGGTTAAAGAAGTTGGGGTTTCAAGAAGGGAGAGGATAACCTTTGACCACTTGTACCGGACCCTCCCTTCCGACAGTACTATCTCAAGAACGGTGAAAAGTCAAATATAGTCAGACGTATGTTTATCGATATGTTGGCACTAATGGATGGCCTGCCGACCCCTCAGCCTCATTCCCCTCACATTGATACTGAAAAGTTGAGTTGGGAAGTGGATGAGAATGAGGACGAGGACGAGGACGAGGACGAGGATGAGGATGAGGATGAGGATAATTATGCTAAGGCGGCTTGTACCGTCAATACCTACCTACCCAGCATCTCCTAACTTGACTCGTTTAACATGCCTCCCTATTGGCGTTGAATGTAATGCTTGGGGAAATGATATCAATAATATCAAGATCCTGGTTGATAGAAGCTACATATTATACATATTATACATATTATTATCATCATTCGTAGATGTCTTATCGAGAGGAATTACAACGGGACGTGTTCTTCCTTTTCTTCAAACACGTCATCCAGGGTCTGATGTCCCAAAGGAGTAAATATACAGTAAATGTAGCGATCGCGAAAGGGTCAAGAAGAGGTGAAGAGGTGAAGAGGTGAGAAAAGGAGGTAGATGTATGTCACTTCATCCATCACAATGGCAAAGGTTTTGGTATGTTTACGTAGATAGTCACACATGTCGTAAGTTGATCTGCATTCAATTCATGGTTCGAATCATACCAGTTCTCCTCCATACTCCATAGCCCCTTCAAATGGGACAAGTCTGATCAATGTCCAAAGCAATCGATCCACGTTCCAAAGAGTTTGGACAATTTCTTTCGTATGTGGCTTGAATTCAAGAGTGATAGTGTGATAGTGGGTGGTGGTGGGCGGTGGTGGGTGGTGCTTAGAGATGCCCCCGGTTTAATAGAATGGAGATTGGAAGGTTGGATGGAGATTGGGGATTGGAGATTGGAGATTGGAGAAAATGAGGGACCGAGATTGAGAAGATTGAAAAAAAAATCGAGGAAAATTGGGAAAATGTTATTAAATTCTCATCCAATGAAAGATCCATCTCCTCGGTCATTTCAACCAATCGAGTTACGTCTTTTTCATGCAATACTACCGTAGTACATTGTTTCCATTGTCACCCTTCACTCCAGCCACATACATGTCACGATTCACTCTTGTTATTATCCCACCCCCCCCCCCAAACTTCATACTCCCCCTCATCCATGCCCATCCATGCCCCTCCATCAGATCGATTTTCTTCCTTCACTGTCGGATTCAACGTCATCGTGCTTCACATGCTCCCATTCTGTCATTTTTATTAACATGTATCATTCATCGTCTTTCCTTTGATACATTGATTTATTTCATCTACATGGGTAATGTAGAATTTGGTTTTTACAATTTGCAATCATACCAATCAATGCGAACAAAGATAAGTAGACACGTAGATAGACATAAATGGACATAAACATAGACATAAATATAGATACAAATACAAATAAAGACATATAAATACGGACAAATACTACATACAAACACAAGTATAAATACAAATACACATCGGATTTTACAATACCTAGATCTGGAGAAGAAAGATCGATATCAACATTTGTATGTCAAGTCAAAACACATCAAATCAAATCAACCCAAATCAACCCAAATCGACCCAAATCAAACAACACAAATCATCACTCGAGATCGAAAGCAAAAACTTCATTTTGTTGAAATTGATTCAAACATAGGACCTAGGTAATCATAATTAATGCTCTATATTATGGTCCTTGTTTTACTACGGTATATCAATGATTGTATAATCGTAAGGATGGGCTGTGACGGATCACCTACCACTTACGTTCTCCCATTGCTAACATCAAGATATTTTTGATTTTGAATGCTTTTTTGGGAGAGGATACCCAGAATCTCTCGCACCAACTTCCCACCTACTTTTCTTCCGAACCTACTATCCCATACAATCAATCACATACCATACCATGCATTCGATAATCTCATCAAGAACCTAAATAAATATCTTGGAATTCCATGAAATCTTCTTCAATTCAATCTCTATTGCTACTACCTACTCTCCTCTCACTACTCTCACTACTTCCACTCCTCTCACTACCTCCACTACTCTCACTACTCCTCCCACTTCCACCACTCCCACCACTCCCACCACCACTTCTACTTGTCCCAAACATCATTTCCCCTCATTATTAATCAAAGCTTCGTCCCGTCCCAAATCAAGAACCTAGACCTCAAGTCTCCAATCCATCCTTTTGCCAACTATTATAAACCATTCTTTCGGCTCAACATATCGGGAGTGAAAGATTCAAAGAGAAAGGCAGAGAAAGGTAGAAAAGGAGAAGACCAAGAAGGAAAAAAAAAAAAAACACCAGAAAAAAAAAACCAGTAGAAACGGCGACCCCGGCATCTTAAGCTTCGACCCGCCACGACCAAAGTTCAAATCAGTCGATAGCTTCATTTCTTCGTCTCGAATTGCCCCAAATCCTCTTCCCACCAAAAGTCAAGACTCGGAATCTTTCGCAGACCATTTTACCGACTTGTGGCTCAACAACACCATTATCTTCTAGGGATAATCTAAACTCCTAGAAACCCAAACAAAGTTCACACGAGTGGAAATCAGAAGAACTACTAGTAGATATTTGGTCTAGGTATATCTAGTATATGCTCTAGACCAGCCTTCCCTCTTCTCGATCGGGATATTTCCAGTTCAACAAAGTACCGATCATCCTGAATTTCCGTACGGCAATTGTGAAGCCAAAACCCATTTCACCAGTGACCATTCTTGAGTCTCGACCAGTTTGATTCATTAACAAGGTCAGTCCTTCAATCTCTGTTCTTCAATCCGAAATATACCTTCGCCAAGAGAGGTATCAATCACTTCATTTACTAACTAATCCTTTTCACACCAGAAAGATCGACAACAACATTCGATTCTTACCCCACAACTCATACTGCCTCTCGAATGCGAACAATTCTCTGATCAGAATAATGGCAGACAATCCTCAACTAGATACGATGGGTCTTCCGGGCGATTCAATCGATTTTGCTTTTAAAGATACCCCTCCTCAGGAAAAGCCTACAGATGATCAAACGAACGAAGCTCCTACATCCCCTACTTCTTCGAAACCTCCTACGATACCGTCTCTTCGACCAGCATCAGAAAACGAGGGAATAGCCACCATGACAGCATCTTCTACACCTCTTGGTATGTTGCAGAATGCCAGAAGACCAAGACCTGGCCCATCGATACCAGGAGGAGGTAGATCCTCGCAAGTAGGCAGACAACCTGGTGGTGGTTTACCTACATCCATGGCGGAAAAAATGAAAGCATTTCACGCATCAAGACAAGGCGTACCTTCCCCACGACCACAGTTACCCACGACAATTTCATCACCGGGGGTCCCAGCTTCACCTGTCGTAGATGGATTACCTGGAGGATTACAATTACCACCCAATATGCGACCTCCACCACAAAACTTTGTTTCCGCTCCGGTAATTCCGAAAATGAAAATGGGTGGTGGATTAAGCGCAAGAAGAGGTATGAAATTACCTGGTGGTCTACCTCCAGCTCCAGCGGCTGCGCCAGGTTCCGAATCAGATAGTGCACCGAACACTGCAAATGGAGGTTCTATGTTTAATCAATTTGCAAAATACGTTGACACAGAGAAAGGGACATTGAAATTTGCAGGAAAGGCAGTTATTCATGGAGGTGGTATCGATTTTGCAAACGGTACAAATTTCAATATGTCTTTGGACGAGGTTGATACATTGGAAGAATTGGGCAAAGGAAATTATGGTACCGTTTACAAAGTTCGACATGCAAGACCACGCATGCGCAAACCTGGATTGGGTCTCGCAGGTAACAAATCATCTACAACGGATACCGATGATGCCGAAGTGAAACCTGGAGGAAATACAACTGGTGTGGTGATGGCAATGAAAGAACTTCGACTGGAACTTGACGAAGCTAAATTCGCGGCTATCATTATGGAATTGGACATCCTTCATAGATGTCTGAGTCCTTACATTATCGACTTTTACGGTGCATTCTTTCAAGAGGGGGCTGTCTACATCTGTATAGAGTTCATGGATGGAGGGTCGATTGATAAAATCTACGGAGATGGTATCCCCGAAAATGTTTTGAGGAAAATCACCTACGCAACAACTCAAGGTCTGAAAACCCTGAAAGACGAACATAACATCATTCATCGAGATGTTAAGCCAACGAATATTCTCGTAAATACCAAAGGACAGGTCAAAATTTGTGATTTTGGTGTTTCTGGAAATTTGGTCGCTAGTATCGCAAAAACGAATATTGGATGTCAATCATATATGGCACCAGAGAGAATTTCGGGTGGTGGAATTTCACAAGCTGGTGCAAATCCTGGAGGTGGAACTTATAGTGTACAAAGTGATATTTGGTCTTTGGGATTAAGTGTCATTGAGTGTGCAATGGGAAGATATCCATATCCACCAGAGACATACAATAATATCTTTTCACAATTGAGTGTAAGTTTCTCGTGTTCTATCCCGTTTACCTTGAAGTTTGAATCTAATATAAAGTAGGCAATTGTCGATGGTGAACCACCCGATCTTCCTGCAGAAGGTTTCTCCCCAACTGCCCGCAATTTCGTCCGAGGATGTCTTAACAAAATCCCAAAAATGCGTCCTACATACAGCGATTTACTTCAACATCCATGGTTGGCTGAGCTTTCGAAACCAAATACGATTTCGGAAGAAGATGAAGAGGAAGATGAAGATCAGGTCGATGTGGGCAGTTTAAGTCTGGAAGATGGTGTAAAACAAGATACATCAAATGGTATCCTGACAGGAACCGAGGACTCAGAGGTTGCAGAATGGGTTAAAAATGCTATCGAGAGGAAGAAATTGGGTCTCATGGGTACACATGCACAGCCCGCCTTACATAAGGCGCCTTTGGATACGGTTAGTCCGTTGCCGAGTCCAAGGGAGTGAGGGATAGGTGCAGGGCAAATGAATGAGCTTATGAATTAAGAGGGAATGGGAAAGAGAAAGATGATTTTACATGGCATGGAATGGAGTTTCGGGTGGGCGCCATTACAATTTTTGAACGATTGACAAGCTGACGGTAGGCACTTTGAGATCCTAGAAGTGCATATTCTGGAGGGAACTCGATTTGTACATTTGAACCTCTTACTTTTTCTTTTTCTTTGTTCTTCTCTTTCTGTCCTAGGAAACGAAAACGTATCAATTTCTTTTCTTCTTTTTTGATGATGCATAGCATGTATGATGGGTATTAGGCAATAAATGAAATGGATTATCATATTCTTTGAATGAAGAATGATTTGGAATATGGGGACATGATTGAAATAAACGGAGGGGGGGAGAGGATGGGAGGATGATAGATACCATTGAGATTAATGAAATGAAATGACATGACATGAAATGGAATGAAATCGAATCCAATCAATCAAGATATGTATCTTGAAATGAGTGAACGATGGTTAATTGTATTTGGTTTGGAGGAAATAAGCGACAAGGTCAGTGATGGACTTGGTCACTGGTGATGGGTTTGGTGTTGAATTGGGGATGGAATAGAGTGTCGGAAGAGGATCGGGGAAAAGCATTCCGAAGAAATGACCAGCCCGCAACTCTCACGTATGGAAAGATACCTCTCTGGGCAGTGGATATAGAGTCGCGCCAGTTATGAGACTCAAAAATGCAGAAGGAGTACTTTTGGGGGGGGGGCGTCGGTAAATATCTGTGGCGATATTGTAAAACTTACATCGTAAGCTGTCGAGTGAATCAGTTACGACTTCGAGCTAAAATGATATATGCAGATACATGATTACTTGGATTTCCTAGAGCATCGCCTCTGATGTCTCCTCACTCTACTTTCATGTTCTAGATAGGAAATGGTGGCTTGAACACTTGAGGCTTCAGCGGGATATCCTCTCGCGCCAGACATCTTCCTACTCATCAGCGAAACGGAGGGCTTCAAGGAATATCAAAATCAAAGATGAGATCCTCAAGCCTGGGAATTGAAGTCGGTTGTAATTTGTAATTCAGATTTGGTCGCGAACTGAAGTGAGATAGGTGTAGATTGCGTAGTAGTGTGCACCTTTACGTCGGTTATGTGGGTTTGATATTGGAGAGCTATGATTTGCAGTCAGATATAACTCTTCCGTCATGCTACATACTCAAGATGAGTAAGTGGTTTTGAATCAATGACTCACTACGGCAAAAGACAACTCTGCTACGCGCAACTTCTCATGCATTAACTAGTCGTTCAAGAAGAGATTCTTAGATTCACTATGCTACGACTCTAATATATCGGCCAAGTCAGCTGGATCCTACCCAACGATAGAAGCGGAAATCGAAGCAACATTTCAACAGCTGCGTTACCTTGCTCATAAATCACATGGTCTTGATCTACCTGATTATGACAAGGACTCTTATCGCCTGAATATAACAAATCTAATTGATCGTGGTGGAAATAAGAAAGAATACAATAGTTGGATAACGTGGTTTAATACTAAGTAGATTATATCACTAAGTATACTATAAATTATACATATAAAAACGCCTCTATATAACTATATACTTTCTTTATTAATTAATAGAATTTTTAGTAATTTTATATAATATCTAAACATATTAATATTCTATAACATGATTTATTACTAAATAGATTATATCACTAAATGAATTATTTAGTTTATATTAAGATATATAATATATTATATATCTTAATAGATTATTAAATACTAAGTTTTTTATTTTTTCGAATAACCTTAATAACTAATATGGTTTATTATCGGGTCGTTAATATCACTGGGTTACTACTTTTTTTACTATTTAACTACTTCAATTTTGTATTATTTAATAACTATTTAATTAATTAATTGAAACTATTAAGGATCTAATAATTTAAGATTTATTATATTATTTTGATAAATTTTTGAATTATAATTAGTTTTTTTATATATATTATAGTATCAACTAGAAAATACTTTTCTATTAGAATTTCTTTTTTTTTGATATTTATTATATTAAATTTGAATATTAATCTTTTATTGAAATAATATATTAAGAGCCTTTTATTTAATAAGCATTTCTCCTTAATATAATTGAATCTTTTTTATATATCAATATTTGCTTAATGCTTTATTTGCTTTTTGAAGTATATAGTTTTCTATATTTAGAAATATATTTTTATAAATTAATTTCTTTATATTTTTAATTAGAATTAATATAGTTTCGAATATAAGTATAAAAAAGCTTAATTAATATTAATTTATTTAAGATTTTATTAAAATTAATTAAAAAAAAGTTTTAATTAGATTATAAAAGGTTTAAGAAATTCAAGAATCTGAATTGAAAAGGGAGAAAGTAGATATATAAATTTGAATATTTAATTTAAAAAGTATAGCTTTAGAATTAAATAATATCAATTTAGTTTTCTAAAATCTAGTTTTTATATTCTAAGATATAATTAATTATTAATATATAGTTTTGAAAGTTATAAAGAATTTAATCTTAAAGATATAATTGATATATATTTTAATAAATCTATTAATTTGATTATTATATAAGTATTTCAGGATATTAAAATATTTAATATTGAATGATTAAATTAAATAACTAGAATATATTAATAGCTTTATATATATTATATTATTTGCTTTATAATATAATTAAAAAGATATTAATTCATAATTTTTGTATTTATTTAGTATTAATATTCGATATTTATTCTTTCTTTAATAAATAGTATATTTATTAAAATGCTTTAATTATTCTAATTCTATTTTATTATTTGTTTATTTATTAAAAATAGATTTAATAGCTTAATCTATAAAAAGATTAGTTTTAATATATTAATTTAAAAGATAGATTTGTTTTTGAATTATTAGAAATAAAGGTATAGTTTTACTTTCTTTATTACTATATATAATTGCTATAGTCTATTTTCGATTACCTAGTTATATTACTTTATTTCTATTATTTTATTTAGTATTAGTTATAATTGTATAAATAATTATAATCTCTATTATAAAGCCTATTTTATTAAAATTATAGAAATCATAATTTTGAATATTATATTTCGTTTGTATATTTAGTATTACTTGAAATCATTTTTTAATAAGCTTAGAATCTTTATAAAAAGTTCTTTGAAAGTTATAAATATAATTAAAATATATCTTTAATTTTATATAATACTTTATAAATCAATGAGCCTAAAGCTTTTCAACTTTTTTTGTTTTTTGTAATTCAAGAATATAATTTGCTATATTTTCTATATTATTTAATTTAGATGTAAATCCTTTATTATTTATATCAATTATATATTGAAGAAATATTTTCTTTTTTAATTTAATTATTTTATATCCATTTATTTGAGTTTCTATTTGATTATTTTAATTATTGATTTTATTATATAATGTAAATTGAGATATTAAATAGACTTTTATAGCTTTTGTAATTATTAAATTTTTAGACTTTCGAATAGCTTCAATAATTAAAATGATTTGGGTTTCTTTTGATTGTATTTCTATAATTATTTATTGAGATATTGCGAATTAAAATTAAAGTAATTGAATAATGAAAAAAGTGGTGATTTAGTGATATTAGCGATTTGATGATAAATCATGTTAAGAGTATTCGAGCTTTATTATTATTTGATTATATAATGATTGATTGATAAAACATATATTGAATTGAAATATGAATATTTGAGGTGAAAGTAATCCACTTGGTGATCAAAGATATTTCTATTATCAAATCTATTCTGTAAGAATCGCTGCGACATTATGCCAATGACATCGAAACCCGGATCGTGCTTCAAGGTGGTACATAGGTGCATCCAGAAGCTAATAGTAGCAATTTATCTCTAATCATCAATCCTCCAATCAAGGAAGTATTGGTGGACTTTCAGCCTAGAGCGGGATGGGCTGATTGCGATTGGTCGTTCACGCTTTAGATGAAATGAAGACCAAACGCACATCATGTCTTAGAAATGATTCAACAGGTACATTTTTTATAGGTGGATAGGGAATTTGAATTGATAAATTCGAGCTCTTCGAGTCTTTGAGTATTCTATAAAAAAATCGGACTGAAAAAATCCTCTTCCACATGATTCCGTTTACGTAAAGCAACCATGACTTGGTTCAACAACAAATTTTGATCATGGTTTGGAAATCCCGAAGTTGCCTCTCAGTCAATGTGAATTTTTGATACGGGTAGCGGGTAAGTAAGCGAAAATTTTGACGCCAGGAGTATGGAGGCACAATTGGAGTTCGAATCTCAAGCTTATCTCCCGGTTGTTTCTTTGCAGATCTCTATAACAATATATCTTCATTATATCTGCATCGGTACTAGAAATTTTAGAGGTAGCTTGAGAACCGCCGAGAATATAATCAAAATCCAATTCATTCATTGCTGCATACGATGGAAGGATGAGAACTCATGGAACCAAAAAGTCTTTGCTTCTAGTCGCCGATAGATCTTGGCCGAGCGTTTGGATACATAAAGTCTGGTGGATCAAGTGATGTTCGAGATCATGAGCTGTATATCATGTAGAACGATACTAAAGGCTCTGTGTTTTCTCAATAATGACCAAGTCGTGTCATGGCCCCTTTCGCTGTTCAGTAGTCATCTTTCAGGAATTTTTCCTTCTATTGTCAACGGAAGCTATCTCCCAAAGTTGCTAAAATCTTTAACACTTTCATAGAATGATTCTATCTGCTGGCAGTGAGAAGTCATTTCTCAGTAGTGAGCACTCTTTGCTTCCAGGCTTGCTTTGAGGATCTTGAATCATGTATGACCAGATGCATCCTGGGGGCTAGAAAATAAGTAACCATAGCGTGGTCCTTGCTAGTATGCGCTGTTTGCTTGAAAGAGTATGAGATATTCAACGCCCTCTTTTATGCCCGAGTTTATCTCCCTGTGTAATGACAGATTTCGTGTTGCAGTTGCTACACCACTGAGTGCTAGTACTGGATGTGTATTAAAAGAGAGGTAACACCCGAAATTTATCATCAAACTATATTCTCATGACTTTAGGATATCCAAATTCAGATATCCTTCTCTCTCTGTGGAGTTCAAGGTCATGCCCCTCATGAATTAGCGTGGCAATCACAGTCATATAGTCACACAAATCGTGGAGTGTTTTCGTCTGATGTCTCATTTGGTGATACAAGACACAAATATTGAAGGTTGAACCGCATTACTTGACATTAGCACTCCCGATGTCAAATCGACTATATGGCTTATGAGGAAATGAATGAAAGCAACGCTTCTATTTTGATTGTCACAATCCGAACTAAATATCCTGGAGCAATGTTATAGAAAGAGACACTACCCCTAGACTTGCCTGTTCCTGACCTTTGATAGTTTTCTCTTTGACGTTTGTACTGCGCATGAAACACTTTCTCATCGACAAGTACATAAAACTTAGGTTCAATAATTTGCACCGGCGATCTACATCCACGCTTCACAATGCACCCGCCATCCATCTTAATTTTCGGATTCGCAGCTGTTCGTGCTGTTTTTGGAACACCTATTCCAGTAAGAAATATTTTCTCTCACTTTCCCGCTTTAATGATTCAAACATTCACTCATAGCTATCCACATGATGCTCGCGCAATTTTCGTTAACTCTTCCAAGAGACTTCCTACATCCAGCGGAAACATTACAGCATACGGTAACAATGCCCATATTGTGAGTATACATAGAGTGCAACTCATTAAGCCCCCATGAGACTACTGACAGCTATCGTCTGGCCTAGGAGTCCCATCTATCGAAACGATCGTCGGAATCCAATGAAAGCATTGAGTGTCCCGAGGGGTTTACGCCAAGGGATGGAAGCAAAATAGTCCCCTGTGTTTCTATTCATCTCAAACTGGAGAAGCAAAGCTGAGAAGTTCATCAGGATGTTGATTGGAACATCAAGGCAAACAAGGAGGCTAAGAAAGGTGTTTATGCGAGTGTGTAAAATCCGCTGGATGATAGAACTTTCTACAGTTTGAGAATTCCCGCAAATAGCAGTGTGGTGGGGTCCGGATACAAGAGCTTGAATGGAATGGCTAGCGTGCAATATGGATCTTGTAATGTGATGTGGAAATGATGGAGTCTGTGGATTAGGGATAGGATTTGGGCAAAATCCACGGATTTACACATGTACAGATGTTATTTCTTGGAATGTATATCTCGTGAGCTGGAAGCTGTGACGCTCAATATTTTGATTCGATGGGGCTTTAGGGAATGCTTGAATAATAAATTGGATATGAGGTCACAAAATAAGTCGCATCTTTCCATTAAGAAATAAGCTCAATACACAAGAAATCTAGCACGTTCTCCTTAGGGTAAAAGGATGTACTATCCGACTAACGGGGCAGAGTCATAGACCTATAGTGAAAAGTGTTGAATGATATTTGAGAGGTTGGCTCCCACTCTCTATCTTTGGCCATTGGTTTGTTATACTGCATCATCTTTGGCAGCACTTGCATGAGATTCGCAGAGTATGTGACACACTACACTTGTCTTCCCATCCCTGTATACTTTTTGAATGCCAGTCGCATGTACTTCTAACACTTTCTGATGTCGGGATTCGGTAGCCAGGAAAAATTTCTAACCATGTTCACTAAATGTTCAGAAGCGGCGTCGAGATTAAAATTTGTTTGACTTTGACGACCCAATAATATATAATACATCAGAGCTGGTACGACTCCCACTTCAAACACCATGCATCTCCGTGTCCACTATTTCACCACTCTCTATTCCAGGATCATCGACAACATCTTCCACTATAAAATCGTCCGGGATTCTAAAAATTTCCAATGACCTCTGTGCGTTCTCGTCCGAATGCCACTCTGCGGAATGTTGATTATAATTCTTTTCGTAACATTCCTCAGAGCAGAAAAGGGCCTTATGCCCACTAACCATGCAAACTTTGCACAAACACATCCCATCATGGGATACCTCCTCATCTGCACTCAGCTCAGAAAGGCAACAATCTTTCCAATGGGCACTCAAGCAATAGTGATCGGCTTTGTCGTGATCTTCGTGGTCCAGAAGCGCATGACTAGGAGAACAATAATAAGTCCTTTTATGATCTCTATCTTCTGGAACTTTGGACGCAATCCAGTCACATAAGATGCATTGTATTGCACCTTCTGGTACGGATAGATCCACATCTTCATCACAACCATCGTATGAGCAAAGCGCTTTACTCTCCTTTTCCACTTGCTGATGGTGTAGATATTTGAGTGTATCTTTTTGCTCTTTCTTTGCCTTTGCTTTGAGATGAGCAGATTGTGCAAGATTAAGTTCATTCAGGCGATGCTGTAATTGTGCTATCTCGGTATCCTTCGTGCGAGCACTCTCTTTCTTCATAGCGGCAACAACCTCATCATAGGGTATTTCATTCTCAAACATTCGAGCATATTTACTTTTGTAATTTCGTACGCTGATAGAGTCCGATTCCAGAGGGCTGCAGTAATATGAGACATAAATTGGAATTCGTTGTTTATGAGTTGTAGTGTCGTGCAAGTGAAGGATAAAATCTACTTGATCTGGGTTCGGACATGTCTTGATGTACTCCGTTAGGTAAGCATTCAAAACTTTTGAGATATTTCTCCCTTGATCTAGTTCCATCGCGATGCGGTCCTTGAATTCGATGATATCCTCAGAATCATCCGGCCTGTGTGCACAAAGATCCTTCTTTAAATGTGCCCGAAATTCGTGATCTGCTCTTGTGTGAATCTCGTCGAGCCTGTGGACTTTAGGTTGTTCGAACATCGACTGTAACTCTGCTTTGTAGTCAAATAGTTTAGAGTACCAACGATCTGGATCTTCTGATAGATACCAATCCTGATAAGCTTTGCGAGTCTGACGATCCTCTCCGATACAACTCTCACAATCCTTATGGTCAGTGGTGTGTGGTGTTGCAAAGGGGCTCTCGTAAAACTTTTTGATACTTTCAAGAGTCTTTCTGAGAGCTTCATGGTCAATACGATAATTATCTGCATGTTCAAGACGCTCGCCCAATGTAAGAGGATAAGTTCGACCTTGCGGTCTCAATTCAAATGAAGTATCTCTGTAATGTGTCAGGAAAACGCGCTGTCACGTGAGTACCCCGACTTACTCCATGACCATTTAAGCATGCGCCTCTTCGAGATTGAATTTAACTGAGGACCCAAAGTCATGAACTCCAGTAAGATCGATAATTCTGAGTGATATGTCGATGGTTAAGTTTGTCAAATATGAAGAATTCAATCTTGTTAGTTGCTCAGATATGATTGTATAACGGCTTGGGAAATAATGCCCTTTAGAGCTAGCGGCCGCTGGATCAAAGACGGACCGGGTAAACGTTCAATAAACTTAGATACTAGTAAGTATCTCTTGACCTGATTCCTCTTTCCAGCACAACCTGTCAATCAACACAGAATGGTAAGTTTCCCTTCAATTCAATCAATCCTATTTCCATAATCGCGTCGCACTCGCGACTCATATTTCTTATCTATTCCCAGTGATAATGCCAAGGTAAATAATAAAATCACTACTGATACGTCCTTGGGTGTAGGCAGACAAACTTCGCGCGCAGCAACAGCTTGAACAACTCCAGCAGCGTTATGTTGGAACGGGCCATGCTGATACAACAAGATTCGAATGGACGAGTAATATTCAAAGAGATTCGTATGCCTCTTATGTGGGCCACCCGCCTTTATTGAGTTACATGGCAATAGGAATGGGAAGTCCAAGGGAGATTGTGAGGAAAAATATGATTGAGGTGTGTAATTTTGTACACCCTGAGCCTTTTTATTTGGACTTGGACATTATTGGATATGTGGAAGTAGGAATCAAGATGGAGACTAACATCCAACAGAAAATGATACAACCAGTTGGAAAGCCCCCCGAGGTGCAGGATTAGCGATCTTTTTTTGGCATGGAATCTTCTTGTGGAGAATGAAGAGAGGTATGTTCGAGAACTTGCTAGTATTGTTTACAAATGTGGTTTTAACAATGGATATAGGACATCCCTTCAATTGAGAATGAGAGAATCGCATATCGACAACACTCATGGACACGACAAGATGACATCGGAGTGTGGAGCTAGGGGAGGACTGTTCAAATTGATATCGGCGAGGAGTCATACTATGGTGTTAATGGCGCAAACATATAATGGGAGTCAGATTGATATCATATAACGAAGCTTTGTAAGGGGAGGTACAATTCTACGAGTTCCCACGTGTAATTGAAGAAATAACACATCGGACAGCGTATTTGCAATAGCCCAATATCTCGCATGGCCCCTTTTCGAATTCGATATTTTCAATGATGATGAATTTACCACAATTTTCTATGGCGCAATGATATCCTTTCGCTATAGATTGCGCGCAGAATTTCTCTCAAGACTGGGGTCAAGGCCCAAGATGAATTTGGGCGTAAGTAGAAACCACTGAACACTTTCTTCGTCAAAATGATTGTGAACATAGTTCAAACTCAATTTGCTGCAGCACTCACACACCTCACATTTCTAGATCTGATATGAATCACTGCTTTTCCCCGTCACTCAATTCAAAAGTATTTCATGATTCGAATAATGACCCGAATTGCTTACTCGAGCATCCAAAACTCCGTGGCCCCGATGTGTGCACTACGTTTCGCAGCCGAACAATCGAATCTTCCCAAAATAACGCCCGCTTTACAACCGCAATTACCATTCCGTTCAACGTATCGACTATTTATTCATCATCTTCATCCTCTTCTTCTTCAGCTGCTCCTCGTCGTGGCCTTCCCCTCGCGGAACCTCTCTTAGAGCTTGATGCTTCATTTCGTTCGGGAACTTCCGTTCCTTCTCCGTTCTCTCCATGAGTTGCCTTTCTCTTCCCTAATCCTAAGCTACGCTCCAATCGCTTATCGAGATCCTCCGGAGCATGCTCGCCATAAACCTCCTTTACCAGTCCTTGCACACCTTTCGAGCCAATCTCCATCCTTCCTCGGGGTCCTACTCTCCATTCGATCAGCTCCTCTCCATCATTTCTTTCGATAGTTCGGGTTATGTAGTTTTGTTGCATCATCTTCTTCAAGATAAGAGTTGTCTTGTCCAGGGGCAGGTTTGTTTCCGCATTTAACTTTCTTAGAACTGACATGAGCTTGCTGTCTGTCATTGTTGAGTCAGGGCTCAGCATTATGACAGAAACCACCATCGTATAGAATCCTATATATGTAGCTTCATCCCACTGGCTAATAACTTTAGAAGGCTGAATAATCGAGGATGATCGGTAATCGATGGGTAGAATACTTGTGAGAATATATGAGGAAGTTGTCGTGGACTTTGATTTTCTGCTAGCCTCCTCTGAAGGGAAGTAAATTAGTTGGAAACGTAAAAAGGGAAAGGTTCAAAGTTACTCACTCAATCGACCTTTAACAGTGACATTTTCTTTAGCGGGGAGTTCGACCATTTCCATGCCGAATATGATTCTTAGCGATTCTTGTGCCGGTTCAAATATAGATTTAAAGGATCTAGACTGTGCTCCAAGAACCTTCTCCTTGATACCAGTTCTTGTAATTGGTAGACGCTGGAATTCGCACGCCAAGGCATATCTGACCAGTTTCTTCACAACTTGATCCAAAGACTCCTCCCTATCCAAGCCTATGCCTGCGCCTGCTGCATCTTCCTCATCGTCGTCAGCATCCTCTTCTTCTGACTCCGGATCTGAACGATGGCGCTGCTGAGTGTTCCGAGGTATTTCATCTTCTGACTCTTCATCTTCTTTAACCTGCCGGGATAAGTTAGCTGTCAAGCGCGGGGTCATTAAGAAATTGAAAGGGTAAGATGGGTATAAATTACGACGTCTCGCCCACCTCTGCGGGAATTAGCTGGCATATTGAGTATTCTAGGTATGATCCTCCGTTAAAAAAAATAGTACTCTGAATGTATTTCCGTGTTTATGATTCTATCCCTCTTTCCCAAGGAGCGGGAAAAGTTAACTTGAGTTGGGGAGACGCGACCGCGTTTGGTCGGAAAAACTAATGCGGAGAAAAATCGGCCGCTTTCCCCGGTTCTCAAAAAAATAAGAAGATTTCCATGAGTGAAAGGAAGACAATTATAACTTTCCCTCGACGAATTTTTAATCCGCATACATGATTCGCCGACATATATCTACGGCGCATATATGCTTGAGATGCCAAATACGATTAGATCGAAGGCCTTTACCATTCTCAGCCCGAAGAGCGTATTCTACCGAATTGGATGCAGATCATGAAGGCAATGGGCTACGGACGTCGAACGTTCAATCGCAGGAAAGCCAATTGGATAGCAACGGAGACACAGAATTCCATACCAGCGAAAAGGATATAGACACAGCGAGACCCAGAGAATGGCCACCAGAATGGCAAAGCGATATCGTTATAAGAAGACATCATGGTGCGATGAAGCCTCTAAGACCAAGTCGCGGCGTTGAACATACCAAACCATTCAAACATACCAAGCCAGTCAAACATATCAAAGAATCTAATCCTAAGATCTATGGACATACTGGAACAAAACAGGTTGGAAACAGTGTGACATTATCAGGTGTGGATGCGTTGGGGAAGAATGCTGAAGTCCTTGTCTTGCGAGAATCGAAGTTGAAATTTTACAAGGCGAAGAATAAGAGTCCTTTTGATGCAAGTCCAACTCCCGAGAATATTGATATTCTAGCTAGGCTTCAAAGCGAAAGAGGAATCGTCTCTTCGAAAGATGTCGAAGCACATATCAATGAATGCAAACCTGCAGAGGGAACTATACAATCATGGGACGATTTCAACGGCCTCGTGCAATTATTGCAGAAAAGTTTCACAAACCCTCAGATGAAGAAGTATATCCAGTCATACCCAGAGGAAGAAAGAATGAGGAAAGTACCATCTCTCGGTGTTGGAATTTTATACGACGAGCACGCAATTTCCCGAGCCACTCCGTGGATACCAGAAATCTCCCCTATAAACCAGCCAGTCGATGATGATCCCTTGCGGGGATACTCTCCAGCATCCTATAATTACAAACAAAACATTGCGGTAAGGATCTTAAGGGAATGTTGGCAAATAGAAGTTCCGGAACTTGTTGATGGAATAGGTGAAGTCGAAGTCCAAGTTCAAATAAAGGATCTAGACTTTTTAAATAGTGCGTAGAATCAGATTTTTGTTCCTTCCCACAACTCAGCTGATGTAGTGTAATGTCTAGGCCAGGGATACATAGAATCTTTGATCAAACGATATTATCTAAACGACCCCGAAAAGATTGAAATATATCGACCTCGTCAAGTTCTTCGTATCACCTCGACTCGAGAAAAGGCTGCCCTCATTATTGCTGAGATCCAGGATGGAATACGAAGTATTAGTAGAGAGGAATTCCAGTTGAAAGACTTATGCTTTCCTCATTACATCAGAGGGTGGGAGAATAGAACTCTTACTCCAGAAGTATTGGCTAAACTTGGTGAATTGACTAAAACGGATATCAGAAGATTGTCACACAAAGAGCCGATTGTTAGTGTTCTTACATTTCATTCCACGTTATATACACTAATTTTTTACAGCTTCTGATTTCATCCATGGTTACCGACCGAGAAACAGATTTGTCAAAACGGGCTGATGTGGTGAGACGTTTGTTACTAGATCTAGCCCGCTTCGATGGGTCTGATCACAATTCAAGGAAGGTTGGGCTGCGAGACTTCAGCGAGTCTTCTCCCACGGTTGACTTGCCTGGAGGTTTTGTTAGATATCCAGGGTCGCGTGAGCTTTCTTGGCACGAAAGGCTTCGTACGTGGAGTCGATGGACTACAGCCACCCCTAAGTCCGTAGCCATCGATAGTCCAACTGAAACGACTCATTACACTTTTCCTTTCAACACTGTGGACGTAAAACTAGCTGGAAAGCCTCAGAAAAATCCCGACCTTAAAGGACCCGAATTTTTATGGTCTCACGAGTACTCGCCCTCTACCACGATTAAAGCCGGAACTATTTTACACAACATTAGCGGCCATCGGATTGGAAGATATATCGATAATGATATGGAGCATTCAAGGGGACCACCCGCGATAACCCCTGACAAGACATTGAATATGATCAACTTGAAGACTGAGATGGATAATGGATCAATCCGGATATTTTCTCCACAAGCGCCGAATATGTCAGGACTATTTCAGTCAGATCAAATCGAAAATGGACATTTTGATAGTGCAAACCAGGAACTTGTCATGCAATTCAAACCTAATCCATCGGCGCTATGTTCAAATGGCGACCCAATTGGGCCTTCCGCTTTCAATGACTTTCCTCCGATAGAGATTTCTTTCATCATCAATCGAGAATCTTTTGAAGTAGAGTTTCGGGAGCTTCATGCTATAGTTTCCACTGAGACAGCGGATTTGATGCTCCCTGAACTCAAAGCAGATCTCCAGTTTCAAAGAAGAATTCGTTCAAGAATGCTCTTCGATGAATCTAAATCAAATAGTGGGTTGGGTGGTCTGAAATCAGCCGCAATCTCTGTGAAGAATTTCATTCAGAATTCTCAACTAGATCTAACCAGTGAGCGACAATTGGAAACACCACCGAAGTTAGTCATTCCCCTCGCTAGGCATCTTTGCACTGATAATGGCTGGAAACGCATGAACGGCCAGCCAAAATCAGGTGTTGATGTTGAATATTTGTTTGCCAAGCTTGAATATAGAAAGAAGACAACCTATAATTTCAACAATCACGAAATATGCTGCACGAGTATCGAAGCAGGAAAAGCCGGTGGTTCACATTTGGAATTGAGTCTTGCATCTCGATCCATGCCAAATCAAGATGAATTTAACGAGACTATGAAGACGGCGTTGAAGATGGTACAGTTGATGGATATCAAAAATTTCACAAGTGTCTATGGACAGGTGAGAGAAACGTTCCCAGAAC